GAACTGGGTACCAAGCAGAACTTGTAGGAGAAGTGTTCACGGTATTTTAGAGATTCTTGTGTGTAATATTAAATTTACAAAAAATTCAAATGCTGACGGGTGCATGTACAGTACAAATCCTTGCTACTAAAATACAGGAATACAGTTTTGTAAGACAGGAAACTCTGCCCACCCCTTCAAAATACCCAAATGCTTTACAAAGCAAGATACCTTGTTAACCCACCTGCACATATAGCAGCAATCAAGCCTTTTCTGCTTTCCTGGTCCTTCAAAATGTCTTTTACAGCAGGAGACTGTATGAAGAAACCATATCACAAGTCACTTCACTTCATCTGAAGCATGGTTGAAATATTTTCCACTGCAAATTCATAAACAAGTTTTACAAAGAAAACCAGCTGACAACTCTCCATCCTGCCTCAGGACAGAGGGCAATGAAAAGACTAAGAAGGAGAAAAACTGAAACCAATAAATACTTGTCCCATAAGGAAAGAGCAAGGAAATCAGAAGGAACCGCAAGGAAGTACTTGGCCCACATAAAAGCTGGTTAATCTACAGCCACAGAAAGCTGTTGTTTGAAAACTTCACAAGACAAATACGAAAGAGTATTCATGAGTTACCTTCAGACAGTCTCTATCATTCTTAAGAAGATTTATACGGGATATATTGTCTCATATTCTAGGGCTTACAAACTGTGTGATACCATCTAAATCCTATCTGATAGATCGACTTGTTTGTCTGCCTGCCTTCCACAAGGCCTTTATACCACCACTACAAGAGACAGAGACACCAGAGACAGAATCTCTGAGCAAAGGAATAGAGTCCTGTGGGTTCGGCCTGTTTTATATTTCATGGAATTAAATCTTAATTTGCAACTGTTTCATCTTCATATGATTAAGAACAGAGATTTTCCCACAATACAAAGCACACTTCCATTTTTATTCTACTTAACTAGGCACTCAAGTCCAAGAATTTACTCAGCTGTCGCACCTGTGTATTCACAAGAAGGATTCAGAAGACAATTTTCAGATGCTGAACTGAATTTGCAGGATTAGTAAGCAACTGTAGACCACCCACTACTCCTGAGGATGCCCATGAATCTTTAAGATACCAGAACTTTACCTCCGACAAGTTTTGAGCTCCAAGATTACCACCAGGCAGGACCACGACATCGTAAGGACCCTAAACAAACAAAAGATAAAACTGTTCTGCTGAACAGAGGCTGGGACACACATTACACTGTTTTAAGGCCACTACAGCCCAGCTGAGTGAGAAGCAAAAGGATCTACTTTTCTTCCACTGAACACCACTTTATGATCACAGAACCAGTTCCAATTATGGAACAAAATACTGTTTCCTATTCCAGGAAAAGCCTATTATTGATAAAGTCTGTCACAGAACTAACTTTTAAGCCTAGTGCATTTAAGAGCTTCAGCAAGCAAATGGCAGCTCTTGCATTGTAAGGACAAGGGCTTTTGCTCTAGCCTTACCGTACAGGTCTAACCACAGCAATGTTTAGGTTCCCATCAGAACTTTTCAGTTGTTCCTAATGATGGTGTTTTGTTGGGCTGACTAACAGGCAAAATAAAGCTCTATGTCAGATGCTTTGCAAAATCAAATACCCGTGCAGAATTAAGAAATCTGTCTGATCCTAGTATGCTATGAAGTGGGACAACACTGAAGGGGAGCACTGTGGGATGTGCAGTTCTGTGATTCACTACTGTACAGAGCTGACATAAGACGCAACATATTTCTAAAGTAATGCATAAGCCTTCCAAATTCACCTCTGAAACTGTGAGAAAAGCCGTGTTGGCCATTATATCAGACCAGGGTGATGACCAACCTCTTTTCTGGCATCTTCAAGGCTGGCATCAGGACAAATGAAAACATCTCGACTGCACTGCACTGGTTCTTTTCCTGTTAGGCCTGCAACAGTCACCTTGATCTAACAGAAGAATAGATATGTCATTACAATTCAAGAATTTAGGGCATTCTTCTTATATGTTAGTTCTTAAGTAGTACACAGAATGAGCGAAGCACTACTGAAAGCTGTCAAGAATAGCACAACATTTAAGCTTCCCCAAACCATGATTAAGTCCTAACACACAGGGTAATCAGTGATATTAGCCTAGCAATTAACGAATACCTCTAATAGTTCAACTTTTCAAACAGGACATTTAGAGAATATCTGATCCCACAGATTTTAAACAAAACAACCCAGGAGAGCCGGACTAAGCAGCTCAGATAATGAACGAAAGTGTCTCTGCAGGCTTAAGCCATTTTCAAACACACTTATGGCATGTTCATTTCTCTCCCTTGGCTCTTAGATGCCTGGACATAATATCACAGATGTGCATGGCTGAAGTGCTAAGACTTGCACAACAGGCCCAAGACAGAGTTGACCTATAGATGAATCCTATATGTTTTATACCCAATAACCATTGTGCTAGTAGGTATTGTACCAAGTTGTAACAACCACTTATGCTGATGTAAAAAGTGCTAAAGCGTTGAAATACTGAAGCCTGAACAACAGACCCTGAGCCGAAGCTGCTAACTTAGTCTGTAATCATTAACAAAGTATGTAAACTCGCTGGTGAAAGATGCAGCTTAGACAGAATATAATCAGTAGTGAGGATGAAAAGCTGAGAGAATGTATCCAGCTTCCCTTTCTCAGCCTTGTTCCAGGCTGAGAACCCAGGTATTTGGTCTTGTTGTAAACTCCCTTGGTTCCCCCCCCAGCTCTGCTGCAAGCCCTGGCCAGGCTTTGGGTGGAATCCAACAGAGGAAGAAAACCAGATATTTTCTGCTCAAAACAAAGGTGCCAGCTATTCTGGCTTGCTGATTTTTGGGTATATAAGGCTGGACCCACTCACAGCGACTTTGGAGGCCTCAGCTACGGGTGGAGGCACCACGTAGGATTTCCCACTTGCCGGGAAAGGCTCTGCAAACCCTCGCTGTAACCGGGACTGCCTGCAGGTCTGGGTGATGGCAAAGTATGTGAGTGGTGATGGATCTTTCCTAATCACTATTCTTTCTCTCATGTAGTAATGATTTGATTCATTACCCTGTATTGTCCTATTTGTTTGCTTTAGGTCCATTACTCTGCCTTTTCTTACTGCATGTTTTCTGTTTTACTCTATTACATTATTTGGTTATCACCAGTAAAATCGGCCTACTCTTGTCACTCTGGTGTCCGAGTTTAATTGGTATCCTTAATCAGCAAAACAATGGCACAGTTCACGTTCACAGAATAAGCAGACAAGCTTGTGCTTCTTATGGCAGCCAAAATGGGGAGTACATTAACAGAATGACAAAGGTGGTGGGAGAAGTTAATTTTTATTGTAGTCATTTCTATACATATGAAGTTGGTGTATTTATTTAAAAACTTACTTTCATACCTAATCAGATGATAACACTGTGTACCACTACAGTTGCCAAAGTAACAAACAGCGTGAGGAATCCCAACAGATAGAACTATAGTTAATAACAGAAGTTTAGAAGTAACTCAAGAAAAGCCATGTAATTGTGATAAGCTGTAATGTACTGAGCTGTTCAGACCCCTACAAAAAGCCACTTCCCGCTACTGTGCACGGGAGTAGCCATGTTTTCTGACAGGGAGAGATTTACTCAAAATGTCTACTCTAGTCTACATTAGGTTTGTATTTTAAAAGGTTATCTTCTGCACAAATGTCAGTTGTCACGCATGCTTATTTGGGGCATGGCACAAATAATTGCTAACCAGTAAGAAGGCATGGGTAAATTTTCACCTCATACAACAGACTACGGCTTGACCTCCTAGCAGTGAACATTAACTTGAGGCAAAGGTATTCCCTTGACCAAGCACTTACAAAAAGATTTTTCACCGTCCACATACTCACCCCAGCTCTCCTCATAAGATCAGTGGGGATTACAGTTTCCATTTCCTCTGCCCCTTTTGCGAGAATCACCAATGCTCTTTTTGAGGCCATATCTTGCGGGGTTGCTATTAGGTGAGATGGTTGTGAAGGGAAGGGTTGAGGGGGGCAGAAAGAGACAGTGTAGTTAGATGGCAAATCCCTTAGTACAAATCCTTCCTAACGGTATAACTGAGTAATCTGCATTTTTGCATTATCTTTCATTTAAGCCACCTCAGAATGGTCCATTAGCTTTAATTAATATTCATAGCAATTTAACTAAACAGCTTCTTACAAAGAGTGCATTATGATATTAAGGGATTAAGACGTTTGTGCAGTGGGAGGCACAGCACATCAGCACCGGAACAGGAAGAAGCTTGGCCTAATCAAGACTTTACGTGACTTGAGTCTGCCAGAGAGAGGGGCTCAAGGTGGGTGGCAGAGCTGTTTTCAATTTGCACGCCCTCACTCATACCCAGACTACTGACTCCTACCCAGGTCAGCATTTATAAAAAGGGCTTGCATGAGCTTTGACCTCATGTCTGGTATTTAGTTTCCACATAGCACGCTTCATGAAGAGTTTCCTGTGACTTATAATGACTCGACCAGTGCCCCTGCAAAACCTCAGCAACAGATTTTCTGGGCATTTCATAATGCTGTGGGGGAGAAATGTGTGTGCACATGTGTGATGGGGGAGCAGACCACAGAATTTAGCAAATGGAACAAACTAGGCTTAAGACTTTTTTTTCCTGACTCTTAAATTCAAGTTGAGGTGAAGGGCCAAATTTCCATTTGAAGGTTAAGTTAAAGTAACTTTACATCATGTAAAATACACACTAACTCATACTGGTCTGACAGAAGTCTGTGAAAGCATCTGTGGTGTGAGAAGGCATTTCACAGGTCATCCACTCTCTGAAACAGGGATTTTTTTTCCTATGTAGGGGCTTTCCATCCAGAAATGCTCATAGTGCCTGGGAGCAATTCGTAAAATGAGATGCACATTTAGTTGCCTGCATGAAAAAAACCCATCAGCTTATCCTGCTTCAACTTCATCAGTTTTCAGGTTCGTCCTCTGCTGTTAGCTCCATTTAGAGAGATGCTATTTCTAGAATGCGATCATATACAGTATTACAGTGATATACATCCTGAAGCACGCAGAAGCAACCTAAGCAGCCTAATCCAGCATGTCAAATCCTACTTTTAGGGCAGCTTCACGTACTGTCAACACAAGGCCAGCTGAACAAGTACACTCAAACCACTGGTATTAACACTAAATTCAAGATAACCTGGAGCTTCTTAATAATTCATCTCAAAGGTATACACTGATTCTGCAAAATTAACTTTTATATAAATTTGACTGACTAGTAACAGACTACCTGAATAGCCACAATGCAGAAACACTGCATTTGCTTCTTACTGTAGAAAAATACTCTAGATCATAGTTTGTATCCCTCTCTCTCATTAGCTCTTTAGATGCAAATAGGCACCTGATCCTGAAAAGTTTTCCCTTTCCCCTAATCTAGCAAAATGCAGTCTCTCCCTACTGTCCTCAAGCATTTATCTAACACACTGGCCAATTCTTGAGCGTTAGTACTGCTCGTCACGCGGGTGCGTATGTCAATAGCTGTCATGCTGTAAATGCTACCAGAGTAAGACCGGTTTCTGAGAAGGCAGAACCAAGTTACACGGACCCAACAGCCACGAGCATTTGCCTTCCCCACGGTTCTCAGTGCCAACACGGAAGTGCGAAGGTACCGGGGGGGGGCGGCGGGGCCCGGCGAGCAGCGGCGGCCGCTTGCAGCCCCTCGTTACCGCGCGGGTGGGGGACGGCGCGTTCGCTTGTCGAGCCCCTGCGCCCGGCACTGGCTGAAGAACGCGTCTGCGGGGCTCTCGCCGGAGCCACTGGCCCGGCTGTGGGGCGAGCAGATGTCCCGAGCTTTTGCCGTGCTGCGCTGGACGTGCCCGCGCGCCTCTGTAACTTACGACTCATTCACACGTTCCAGGAAGATTCAAGTACTTAAAAGGGTGCTCCTCAAAAAGCGATGCCGTATGCACCTGCAAGGATGGGTATCGCTGCACCGGCGACGGCTGCTCCCGCTGTGACCGCAGCTGCGGCGTGGGCCAGGAGAGCAGCGGGACCGGTAAGGTCGCCTTTGCCCACCAGCTTCAACCTCCTGCGCTCACTGCACCAGACGCTCCCCCCCCGGCCTCTGGCACAGCGCGGGAACTGGAGTAAGGGCCTTGCAAGATCCAAGCTGCTGCTGCTGCTGCTAAACCATTTGCACGGTGCTGGAGCAAGCACGGCAGCAGACAAACCCACCTGACTCAAGCCCCCTGAGCTCCAGTCCTCACTCCTTAGTGCCCTTTGCATGACAGCTCTTTTGTCACCAGCATGTGGGGAACTGAGGTGGCAGCTCTGGAGTTAGGTGTAATTTGGGGCATCTAGTGCCAGGTAAACTGGCTCTGGAGCCGAGGACTGTGCTGGCCCATAGCTCACAGGGAAAGACTTGCCTTGCATACCCAGGGCAGCTTATGAAATGGTAATTCTATGAATGTGGACCACAGTCATTGTACAAGCAGGCAAATACAATGTTTCCCATGTTTTAAATGCTCATTTTGTACAAATTTACCTGTCCTTTTCTGCCACAGGCTGCCAAATCTGCCGCTATGGAACCTTTAATGATCAGCCCAATGGTTCCTGTAAAAACTGGACAAAGTAAGTAACCAAAGAGTAAATGCTACAGCTATTACACTTGACTGGATTTTTTTTTCCATGTTGTTTGTTGTTGTTTTTCTGTTTTGCTTTAAATGTCTTTCAGGTGCTCTGCAAACCAGGTCCTGGAGCCTGGAACTGCAGCAAAAGATGTCATCTGCAAACACGCTTCACATAATCCTACTTTAGTCACTACTCTACCCACCATGTCTCCTGCAATTCCAGTTTCTATCACTGTGCCGGGTGAGCCACTGTATAATATTGCTTATAGAGCTAAAGAATCATGACCTACTTTGAAAGGTACTACAGCTCACTCACCATTTAAAGCAAGAGTCCTTTCTTCTGTCCATTTACAGTGTTGCAGACTTACCCAGAAGCAGAGTTGGAGAGAAACTTGCCAGCTTTGGGTGGTAGAATTTTGCTCTGTAACACTTCTTACAGAATGTCATTTGCTTCCTAGGGAAGGACCTCCAGGAGGACATTATCAGAATTTCTCTGACTGTAGCTGGGCTGTTGTGCATAGTGTTTCTGCTGCCTTTGTGCATATGCTTCAGTATCTGGCAGAAAAAGAAACTACATGCTGTCTTCAAGAAAAGTAAGATCGATATGCTCTTAGTTTTTCTCCTTGAAACTAGACAGAAACCAGGAACCGAGGTTTATAAGTGTCTTTCAAAGGTAGTTGCAGATAGCTTCATTTTTGGCCTTGTAGGTCAGAAAAAAACTGAAAGGAAAACAGTTTGGGAGTTTTTATTGCAGAAAGCACTTAATTACCTCTGGGTGTTCTGTCAACACTGCGGGTTAACCATGTGTATATCTACATAAGTGAAGCTTTCATGGGAGGTGAAGAAGCTGAGGTGAGGTTGAGGGTCGGTTCAGGTATAGGTCCTCGGCAAGCGTGGCGGCAGCACGTGGCAGCAGCATGTTCCAGCTCTGCATGCAGAGCCTGGGGCGAATGCCTCTGGCAGCGGTGGGCGCGTCGATCGGGACGCTCTGCTGCACCCCTGGGCCCGGTGCTGCCCTCTGAGAGCTGATAAGCCACAGGGAAGCTCAAGAGTTCAGCAGAAAGCTGAGGTTGAATTGCATCCAACATACTTTAGAGCTATTTGAGGTTTTCTCTTTCTCTGCCCTTTCCTGGAGATAAGGGCTTGATCTTCTGGTGTAATTCTGAATACAGGAGAGGATAGCATTACTCCAAAAGTCTAACAACTCCATGTTGGTCTTCCTTCCATTCCAATGGCAGAGCACTAGCAGTCCCTGTTGAACTAGGGAAAACAAACTATGATAATCTAGTTTTATCAGATGTACATGCTGTAGAGGAATATTTTCAGATTACTGAATCCTTTGGAATTCATGCCGACTTCCTGCACTTGTGACTGAAGAAGAGTGGAATAAAACGAATGAGCAAATACAACAGAAAGTGAACATTTGATCTTTTTCTTTAGTGCATATCACACCTGAACAGTCAATTCAGGAAGATGATGCCTGCAGCTGCCGCTTTCCTGAGGAAGAACAAGGTGAATATCAGGACCGTGGCAAATCCACAGAATTCAGAGATCTTTTGGTGAACTAGGAATTGGACTGTCCAGGTCAACTGCATTTGAATTCCCTCTTGGAACACAACAAGAGCCTGTTACATTAATAGAGAGTGTATCAGGATCTCTGAATTTGAGTGCTAAATAGCCCAGCCACTGAGTAAAAAGTGCATCTTTTCTATCACTAAAAAAATAAATAATTAAATTAAAAGATGAGTTTTGCAGACTTTCTTCCTCTAGGACTAGGAATCATATTTCTAAGAAGTGGTGCTAGATCTGCATGTAGAAAGTGGTACTGCAATTAAAAGCAGTAATAGAAGGGCAGAATGGCTTTCTGGTCCCTCTTCGAAACAGGGTCTGAGCCATAATTTATGAGCAGTCTGAAAGCATCTGACGCTGAGAAGGAGCTCTGTAGAATGCAGTAGAGCCAGGTGTAATGCTCACGGTCTCTGATACATTACCAGATGTCCTCTTGAGTCTAGAGCTGCATCTCCTTCTAAAGTCTGGCTCAAACCCAACAGTTTTGGGTTTTGTGTGCAAATATAGATAGACCTCATTTTCAGATCTTGTCAGCCCTGGAAACAGATACCTGGGTTGACCATTGCACTCCTCCTTATACGTAGGGGAGAGGAAGCCATAAAAATCTAGAGCTGCAAAGTGTTTCTTAATAGCTCTCATCTGCTGTTGAATGAAACTGATTGGCTTAAGAGAGGCAGTGGAAACACTGAGAAAAGCTGTGGTTGACTTCATCTTAGAAATATATGTTACTGTGCAGCTGGACTGCACTACCTTCAGACCTACATCATTAAACTGATCTTTTGGGTGAAGTAAACGTTCAGTACTTTGCAGATGGGGTATATGTAGATGTGATACATTGCTGGTACTATTTTTGTAACTCTGAGGTTGGAAAGATTTTCACATCAAACACTGTATCTGTCTCTTTGATCAATTACTGTTACTTCGGTCTTAAAGAGAAAAAAAAAACGCGTGTTTGAGTCATGGAAATCACAACATAGTTTTTAACCTTTTACAAAACATTTAATTTCTTCACTAAATGCTGTTCAAAATTGAATACCTGCCCTATGTCATGTAAAGGGTGATTTTCCCCTTGAAGTGATTTCAGCTGAGAATTCTTGTGTTTGAAGAATGACAGCCCATCTCTCCATTCAGCAGAAGATTATGATAGCACATTATTTTCACCAAACCACACTTAGACTTATTTTGATAAACTTATATACAAAGAAATATAAAACAGTATGTGAGAAAATGTCATACCAAAGCCTGAACTGTGAAGTTAAGTGTATTTAGATAAATCTTTCTTTTTATCCCTAGCCCAAGTCACCTCTCTTCTCTATTAGTACTTTCAACCATGAGTACTAAGTGACTATTATGTCAAGTTCACAAACATAAAGACCTAAACAGGACACATGAAAAGCCACCAATCTAGAAATCAAAGAGCAACTTTTGCGCCAGCAGACGGTATCTTGCAACAGGATAAAACAGTTCTGCTTGTCATTAGTTTCTAATCCACACATAAGATATGAGAATTAATGTACACATCCTGTAAAAACTCAAAAGATCTACTGTTTTCTCCTTGGCAAAAAGAGATACCAGTTGGATTTTTTTTTTTTTAATTTTACATTTTTAGATCCCAAGCACAAATCCAGGCTTGGTGAGGAATGGCTGGAGAGCAGCCCTGAGGAGAAGGACCTGGGAGTAGTAGTGGATAGAAAACTGAGCCAGCAACATGCGCTGGCAGCCCAGAAAGCCCCCATGTGCTGGGCTGCACCCAGAGCAGGGTGGGCACAGGGCAAGGGGGGGATTCTCCCCCTCTGCTCCACTCTGGGAGACCCCCCTGCAGGGCTGGGTCCAGCTCAGGGGCACCAACAGCAGAAGGACACGGACCTGCTGGAGCGGGGCCAGAGGAGGCCATGGAGATGCTGGGGGGGGGCTGGAGCACCCCCTGTGAGGACAGGCTGGGAGAGTTGGGGGGTTCAGCTGGAGGAGAGAAGGATCCTTAGAGCAGCCCCCCAGGGCTGAAAGGGGCTGCAGGAAAGGGGGGGGACACACACGACTCTTGGTCAGGGGGGAGGGATAGAACAAAGGATAACAGGTTTAAACTGACAGAGGGGAGATTTAGATTAGACGTAAGGAAGAAATTCTCCCCTGTGAGGGGGGTGAGGCCCTGGTGGCACAGGCTGCCCAGAGAAGCTGTGGCTGCCCCCTCCCTGGAAGGGTTCAAGGCCAGGTTGGACGGGGCTTTGGGCAACCTGGGCTAGTGGAAGGTTAGGGTTAGAGTCCAACAGTCTGTGATTCTGTGAATCATGCACTTCCTTGAACATAATTCCTTGTTGCATGTAATTCGTCTTCACACTGATCACATACAACAAATGTATTAGAAGCCTGTTCCCATTCTAACTCCCCCATAAATAGATATTTTTATCTAAAAGTACTAAAGAACTTGCTTAAATCCTCCTTTTCATTTTGCATGTAGCAGACAGCTGTAAACCCACTTCTGGCAATATGCTTTGGAAATGCAATGGCCAGAATCATCAAGTCAGTTTGCTTGGAATTTTGGATCTGAAAAAAAGCCACAGACTTGTAACTTCCTTTTTTCCTTTTTAAATTATTTTGTCTTCTGAAAAGAAACCCAGAGCAGCTAACAAGACTTCAGTCAAAGGTAGGTAACATGCAGATTGGTAGGTGACAAGTGGCGACTACATGAGTCACAGAAGCAGAAATGGTGCAGGCATCTGGCCTAAATCATTCAGGATGCCACATGCAAACGTCTTAATGTTTTGTTCTCTCAATCTTTTGTTAAAATGTTGAACAGTAAGATTTAGGGCTCATTAATAACTAAATAAAAAGAAACACTGTCATCAGAATTAAAGCTTCTACTAGCTTTCCTGAACAGCATTTGTGGCTGAATCTGTTTCCTAACACAGAGGATGACAAACTTTCTGCATGCAGGTTGAGCCCTGAAATCCTTCATCCAGCACAGGTGAGGGGGGAAAGAGCACACTACCTATCTTTCATTATTGGTAATTAAGGGAGAAGGAAGGAGTAAAGCCTGACTGTCCGTAATTCAGAACCAGGGCTGTTCTGGAAAGAAAGTATTGTTTTGGTGATGACAAATAATTGATAGATCATGTGCATTTTGGCTTCACAGGGAGCTTTTATTGGGCATACAGATTCTTTAATACCTGAAGAAACTTACCAGTTCAGGCAGAAATAGTGCAGCTCAGTCCTAACTCTTTGAGCTCTAAATGCTGCCTGCTTTCTGTGAATGTCTCTTTTCTCAACAGTCTTTAATTTATTATGTAGCGAGTAACAGGGAATGCCATGATGACTCTCAAGCAGCCCAGGTGGCCGAGGATGAGGTAACAGGCCAGGTGCAAGCTTTTTGCATTTCCATGTGTTTGTCTTGGACGTCAGAAAGGGGCCTTTTTAGCCAGACTGCATGTGGAGGACTGGGTGATGTCAGGCGTTCTAAAGGCATGGAAAAAGGAGACAAATCCTCTCTAAAGATAAGTTTAAGCAGGGGAGCCTGCTGCTTTTTTATTGCTTCCAGAACCAGCACCATTTCCTGGCATAGTTAAATGGCATCAGTAATTAAAACTGTTTGTCACATGTCTTGGCTTCATAATTTCTTGCAAGAGTTGTGTGGCTAAGGAAAGCAAAAGGTTCATAGCAAAAGGTTTTCTGTTTCTCACCTCCTTCTCTTCCACAGGCACACTTGTGCGTTTCTGGGCCTGATACTTCTGGATGATAGAGACTCTGAAACTGTAATAACTCCCCTCAAACATATAATCATCATATCTTTTAAAAGCAGAATATGCTTTCGTATTTTCAGTCCTCCTGTCAGATCTTTCAGAGCATAGAAGCAGTCTTCTCTGACATCATTCTGAGACTAACACGGATGATGCAAAAACCTCCAAAGGAGATGGTCCACTCTGAAGCGACTTAACACACAGGAAATAGCATTAAACAGGCAGCTCCTACCACTCTGCTTCCATTTTAACAGGCAGTAAAAGGTCAAGGTAATTTTCACTATTAAAATCATAGAAAGCCTCATTCTATGACCAAGTGTTACCTCAGTTCCTCTCTCAGCTACAGACAAGCCTTCCCTGATACAAGACTTCTTTCAGAGCCTGTCAAGGGAGGTTCTCCATCCACAGGTTTTGTGTCAGCTGTGCGTCAGAACAGATGGCTGAGCATCCCTCTATCCCTGGAACCAGCACGGAAAAGGCTGTTGGATACCATCATTGCCCTCACTGTAAATAAGAATTTTTAATACCATCTACAAAGAAAATGGAAATTCCCTCTAACCTCAGTTTGGCAAGAGTTTGTTATGATATCACCTACTATGTTTCCTTTCACCTTCTAGATCCTGGGTGCCTGCCAGTTAAAGCAGCAGACTATTCCTGAGATACTCTGAAGCAAACTGGATTGTATTTGAATGAAAAAAAAAACCCAACCATCAGCTGAACACCTGAAATCAGGGAAGATCTCCCCTGTTTGTCCAACCTGTTTGCATGACAAAAATAAATCAGGCTTTATTTGATTTACCAAGTACAAAACTCCATACAAAGACACCTACTTTGTTTTAAGGATGACTTATCATAGTATATCTTAAACCTGTTAAATCTACTCTCAGTTTACATAATCCAAACTGAAACAAGCCATTTCAAAACTGAAATAAAATGTCTGAGTTATCCATTTAAGTCAGTTTTAAACCAAATCTTAGCTTACATTAGCTCACTTTCCTCCTGCATTTCAAGCAGGTTTAGAACAAATGCAATTCTGGAAAAAAAAACAAAACAAAGGGTGGAGGTGGATGGATAAGCGAATGAGACAACTTGCCTTCAGCTACAACAGTATAAACCTGAGAAACTTATAATTTTAAAAAATCCTTCTAATATTCACAGCATTGATACTTTGATATTTTCCATTTAGGACAAGTATAAACCATTTAACTTGAAGAACACACCATACAGGCCTGTAAACAGGCAAAAAAAACCCCAAAACAAACAAAAAAAACCCACCAGAAGAAAGAAGGTATCACAATACTTTTATTCAGTGCACCTTTATACAAATTGTAGGGAAACTTTCAAAGTGTAGAACACAATTCTAAAGAAAAAGTACATACATGCTTAAAGCAAAATTTATGGAAACATCTCAAGCATAATATATTTTTCTTGAACTAGAATCACAAATACAGTGAACAGGTATGTGCAAGGGGTGGTGGGAAGAAACATTACTGACACAAGAGGAACTGCAACGTTGCAGTTTGGCACCACGACTCTCTTATCAAGCTACAGTCTCATCAAAAGGCCAAAGAGATTTTTTTTGCCCTGATTTACATAATCAGTGTTACAGCCACCCTTAATGCATCTTTTTGACTTGATGTGGTACATCTCAATAAAGTGTGTTACCTTACAGAAGTAGAGGTTTAACCACAGAAAATGCTCGATGGTTCCCTCAAACTTATGAGTTCTAATACGAGAAAAGGAAGCTGCTGGGTTTTTTTCTTTAACTTGAGAATTGAAGGATTTAGAAATCTGAACGGGCACTCTACTCAAGAAGCCAGTGGACATGACAGGAACATATTCTCTTGTCACTGCATCTCACTATGCCTGCACTCATCAACAGGGTAGGCTACGGTGAGAATACTTCTCACATGGAACAGCGAGGCTTTAACACCTAACATTTATGTGCTTTTCAAAAGTGATTAAATACACCTCAGGGAATTACAGAACAAGAAAAGGATTTACTGTGCTGTGACAGTACTTCTTATCCTACCTGATATAACTGTTCCTGCACCTTCCAGTCATTCCTAATGGCACAGAAAGAGATCGTCACGTAAATAAAACATTAGTATGGTTGCAGAAATTGGTAAACTAAGGCGGCTTTGGAGGCTTCCCACACCAATCTATTTCCACAGACAGTGGTTGTCAATGGAATATTTCCTTCTAAGTATAAAACCTGCTTGTCTTGTAGAGAATTTTTAGAAAAGCCATACTGGTGCTGGGATGGGATACTATATGCATGCTCTAGGCTTTGTAAAGCAATTCACTTCCTCAGCTGAAAAGGCCAACAACACAGCTAGGCAGTCACAAACAGCCAGAGATACCTCCCCATCACCCTCTCCAGCTTGAGGAAGGAGGATGGTCACAAGGACTAGAGGAGAAATGGATGGAATGAGAGCAGGAATTGTAGAATCATAGAATGATTTAGGTTGGAAAAACCCTTTAGGATCATCATAAATGGCATCTAAAAGCTAGTTTGAGTGTTGTTCTTTGCAAAACTCTGCAGCATTTCCTCTCCTCATCTTATGTAGCCTTCATCTCCTGCAGTATGATGGCTCTTAACCAGATGGTTCTACTGCATGTTAGAAGAAAGGAGCTACACAGGTGGCAGAAAGACCACAAGAGAAAGGAAAGGGCTGTGCTAGAATGAGCACATCACATATACATCATTCCCTTGTGATACAGGTCCCAATCCCACTCTTCCAAGCATGGAAACCATATGCTTCCATGCACAGGTGATTTTTTTTTTTTTCCTAGTTCCACATCTGAGCAGAGTCTGCAGAAGAGAAATAACCAGTTGGTCCTGTCAGTTACAAGCCTTACTCATAAAAAAGATGCGTACATAGCAAAGGAATAAGAGTAACAGGCTAAATAGTGACTGCTCTCCAGAATTATATTGTAAATCCGCCTTGGGAATTCTTGCAGGGAAGAGAATTTCACTCCCATTACTTAGTTCTAGTGTAACAAGAAATATCAACTTGCCAAATCAGAAGACAAAGATCTGATATCTGCTTCCTTCGCCTTTGTTGATTCCTACTCCTCTTGATACTCCCATCCCCAGGGACAGCTTTCCACTCTAGGCAAGATCAGTCAGAACGTGAAAATCAGTTAATGCTTGTAGCAGGAATTATTAGATAAACTGGAACCCGTCTCTTAAAACAGTGAAGATTCTGTGTGGCTGACTGCCAGGAAACACGCATTCATTTACAAAATAACCTTGAAAGAAACGCTTTAAACCTCAAGCTGCCCAGTGAGACCTATGCCAACTTTCCCCCTGTTAAGTACACGTATTTGTCCTGAAATGTGAATCACTGAGCCTGCAGAGATTCCATTTAATTAACAAAAAAACTCTTAAGTAGTGAAGGATTAAAGGGATTATGCACTTGGAAAGCAAAGTAAAAAAAATGAAAGTTTGTTTTTATGAGCCATTCATTTACTGCCTACGCTAAGTAGGACAGTTAAATGCCAATGATTATTAGGATAACTCTTTAATTAGTCAGTGGCTCCTGCCCACGCCCTGAACTTCTACAGAACTACCTGATATTTGTCCTCTAATATCAGCTGTGGATATTAGAGGGGTAGGTGATCCTAGGCCTCTGTGGTAAAAACAAGAACATGTGTACATCAAATGTGAAAATCTGGACAGAAAAATAAAGAAAAGCACAAGGACACATCTGATAAAATTGACCTTTTTTTTTTTTTTTTTTTTTTTTTTTTTTTTTTTTTTTTTTTTTTGACACTAGTAGTACCACCTTTTTAAAAGTTGCATTTGAAGCCTTAGGAGACAGAAATATTAAAGCTGAAGTTAATTTCTTTAAAACCTCAGCTGTCATTTAAATCCTCACATGTCTGTGTGGGTGGGCCCCAGGACAATAATTTGTATGGAAAAACCCCCAGTAATCTACTCAACGAAAAATAACGGGTGGTCTAAGTTTAAGAACAGAACAAAACTGAAAATGTTATAGTATGCAGCATTCACCTAGCTCTGCAGCAGGATTAGCATGATAATTTCTTTCTACAATGTAAACTAAATCTTAGGAAGACTGTGCCATTGTTTTAAAAAGAAAAAAATATAATATCTACTGCTGATAAAACTATGAATATACACATATTCTATATAATGAGAGTACTTACCCAAAAGTCCAAAGATACAAAGGTAGCCTAGCGTAGAAAAGCTGCTCTGAATACACAGGAATACGAGGTACCCATGATCCACAGTTGCAGAAAAAGGCAGGTTATTATATGGTACTATAAACAAAACCAACCAATGGTAATAATTGAGTTGTGTTTAGGTCTCTATGCTGTACTGTAATACATACAGGTAGAAGGGCACTGTCAAGCCTGCGTTGTGTTTGGCTGTTGTACTAAAGGATTGTGCTACCTGTTGATCCCCAGTGAACACCATAAACTTGTGCATTCAGGAGCTTTGTTTTGTAGCAAACCAGTTGCCTCTGGCAGAAGATTTAAGCATGGCCGTTCCCATCGTTTGTAGAAAAAAACCTGCTATGGACACACAGCAGGCACACAATTTGATTCCTTCTCTCCAAGGCAGCAGACAGGCTTCATTCAGTGAGCTCGTAACACCTGCCACCGGCACAGCAAGGCCACGCAGCCCCAGGGGCTCCAGCAGCCCCAGTGTCACCACTGTCCCCTGTCCACGGGCCTGTGCCGAGGCTGAAACAGGGACCAAGTCAGGCAAGCACCTTCCTGAACCCGCCCCGTAAAGGCTCCTTCTTCCTTTCCACTCCCTACACGTCCCCCTGTAGCAAACAGACAGACAAGGCTGAGCGCTGCAGGCAGAGGAACGGTGCCAGGAACGTGAGGAGCACAAGCAGGAGGGGAGAGGAAAGGTAAACTAGTAGGTGGAATGGAGCAAGGTATAAGAAAGGACTAACAAAGGGGCTGCTACATAAAAGCCCCATGAAGGTCAAAACCCTCACAAAATGCTTTAGCTGCGGTTCCAGAGTTAAACCACGTAGCAAAGGCAGACCTTCCAAGCTTCTGGACGTGAGAGGCAGCCTTGGCTTCTAGAAATGCCAAGACAGCAAAGGCACTAGGAGAAGGAAAGAGATGGTCAGTGAGAAAGCAGAGCAGATCATACCACTCTTCAAGCAACAAACATACAAGAGTGATGACTCTGTCCTGACCCGATTTTCTGCTTGACTTTGATTCACATAACAGTGGTGCTCTTCAGTAGACCGAGCTTCTGAAGCCGTTCCAGTACCAGCAGTGATCCTATCAGTGAAGCTACACAAGAAAAACTAATGTCTGAGGAATATATTGTATGTCTACTTGCTCCTGAGTAAAAATCTCTTGACCTTATTTAATCATTCTTCAAAAATAGGTTCCTTAGCTGAGAAATGTACATGCATGCAAGAAGGGAAAACCTTTTGTAGAAGGGAAGAATGTCAAACACCCCCCCACCCCCACCCCAAACCCAACACCACACAGTCACCTTTCCCCCAATTTAGTTATCTCTTGCAAGTTGTAAGTCTATACCCTGCTGTTTCAGGGGCTCACCCCAGCGCTGGCGCCCCAGGACTCGCATCCTTCTCCAGAGGTTTGCTGACACCACGTCCCGGGCAGAGGCTCCCCTACCCGCTCCCCCAGAGCCGCCAAGGGACAAAGCTGGCGTCAACAGAGAGAGGACATTTCTTTTCCTTGCAGTGTAGTCAGAAAAATGAGGTACCTGTTACCGGTCACGGCACACTGGTTAGGTATTAAAAAATACAGTCACCTGAAAGTTAATCTAGTCCTATCCAGAAAACCAAAGAGAAAAACGTGTTCACCTGCTCCAGTTCCTTCTCAACCAGACTCTCCCTTCGTGCTCCCCACAGCAGGAGGGAAAGGACTGGTGCCCTGTGCCTGGGATCAGAACTGCTCTGGATTGTTGGAAGGTCCCTAAAAATCCAGTACTTTGCCTTGAAAACACCTCACAACAGACTTCTCTGCAATAAAGGTGTCCGAATTGGAAACTTTTACTGGTTCCAAGTGCAGCAGCATCACAGGGGCAGACACGCACCTTGGAATGAGCCCAAGTCTCCCGCTTGCCCTGTCACTGGGGCTGGTGAAATGTCTGTTAAGTACTGACAGTCACTAGCTAACAGCCTGTGCTTTTCAGCAGGCTGCTTTGTACTCCTTTCTGTGCAGGGTGCTGACTAGAAAAATTAGATAAAGTTTTTATTCTGCTTTTGTCCAGATCATAATTTCTTATTACAGTTGAAGAGATTTTTCTGGGATACCTTGGGAGAGCAGGAGAAAGGTAAAGAGAAAGCTCCATCCTGGCTGCAGAAACATCCCTCTCTTTCCTTAATACTGTCTGCTCTCTTAATTTCAGCTTTAAAAATAAACTGCAATTGCATAGTTAGTTCCATTACATTTTTTTTTTGTGGAAGAAACTTTATTTCAAGATCTGACCTCCACTGCTCTGTGGCTGCATTACCCAGAATCTGATTCCCATAAGATATCAACGTGCTGTATTTCCAAGCTCCAGTCACACCAGACTTACTTTCCTTCATGTCAAACAGTGTGAAGCTTCAGTTTGCTAATTCTGTAGTGCTGAGGGGACAGGGGAGTTAAGAACCAGCTTTGTCACACTTCACTTGGAGAATATACCCAGGCTACAGTGCGCCAGCCCAGCAGGGCCAAAAATCAAGAGGGTTTGTTCCCCCCAGACTGGTGGAAACTATACTACAAAGGAGCAGTGTTTTGGCAGCTGTGATCCTGTACTAGAGAATTTTTAGTCCACTTGCCAGTTCTGCAGCAAAATAAAGCATCTTCACAGAAGCCTGTGGACCTGCCATCTTCATTTACACAGAGGTGTGTGTTCAGTCGAGCACACTCAACTGTGCACCTTTGGTTCACCACAGAACAAGGAAACCTGGGACAGAACCTCTCAGAGATCTTACATAACTTTGAGAGAAATTCAGAAGATAGGAATACTACTGTGTGTACCCAAATACACTGTTTCGTGCTGTTTGCTTATACAGAACATACACCACACGTCCTACATTACAGTTCACACACAGTGGGCAGAAGCAGCATCTTCAAAAAAGGAAGTTAACAGCAAGTGCCCAAGTTATGGTTAATTTTTTCCTTTGATCTGCTGAGTGTCCCAACAGGCTATTTTCAGTACACTCTAAAATGCAGAGTACACATAAAGCAACTCAAGCTAGTGGCAGGAAAAAAAAGCCTTATTGGACATATGATGTCACAAGACAGCTATTTCAGTGTGCAGAACAGATCTAACAATCACATTATGAATCGGAATAATTAGCTAAAATGAAATATTTGTCTTAGGTGTTAATGAGAACAGATATCGGATAAACCAGCAGTGACAGCAAAGCAAAACCCCCAGAACACCTAAATGATCTGCCAGACCTTAGCAGGGAACTAGATAACAAACCCGTTTTTTCTCTCACACCAGCCAACATGTATAACTCATTGAAACAAGATGCGAAGTTAAAAATTCTAGTAAAATTCAAGGAAGAGCTGGACATTTATATAATAAGCAGCTCACCTGCAATTACAATACAAAAACGTTTTACTACATGCCTCTCTTCATGGAAACTAAATTCAAGCCAAAAAGTTACACCAGAAGTTATACCCTAGGTGAAAGTTCCTCGTACAAATGCTACTGCTAAACCACACCATCTCTGAAATTCCTGCTTTTGCCAACTGTCACGATACTTGACTAAAATAAAAACTCGTGCTTACTTATCATAAAGCACGGGAAAGAACTTTTGCATTATACATTAGATTTCATCTTTACTATTTGACTCAGAAGGTGGATAATTTGGGTTTGGAGGGCTGGTCTTGGTTGGTTTTGTTGTGTATTTTTTTTTTTTTTTAAAGTTTTCTTGGCTTCATTAACAACTTACTCTTCATAAGCCATCATTTAAAATCAAGAATAGTTGTTTCGTCTGATAATTAAGGATAATCTTTTATGACAGAGTAACATATACATACTGTTCAGAGTTTGCTCAGTAATTTATCTGGACTACTCTTCCACTGTTATTTTAAACTCAAGCACTTGAAAGAAAGTCTATTATAATAAATAAGAACTTGAAGTTTGCCCACTAAATGGTAGTTTTGATAAAAATTAAAAGTTCCTTGCAAATCAATTTCCAAGTTTTCAAAGTGCAATTCACATTCACTGCCCTCCTCGGTGTATTCAGGGGTTTGTACCTTTGTTTAGGATGAGCTGTTTCTTTGCTTTGCATGATGACGTGTGCACTGTCCCCTGAGGAAAATGCCTTTGACATTCTGGTAGAGGAAAGAGTGTCTAAGTGACAACTTCAGATCTGAGTAAAGGCAATAAGCTGTGGGCAAGTTGCCCAACTTCCACATGACGCACTTCACGATGGCTCTAAGAGGCTGAGTCTTCCTTGAGAGAAGACAAAGGACATAAGTTGCTTGTGTAGAGTGCTTCATTAGCTTTCCTTGGAGGATGCTCAGAGCGAATATTGATAAGGCCATTGTCATTGATAGTTCACTGAAGGACAAGCATTTGTACAGAGCATCCAGCACCAACAGTGAGATCATGCATCAAATCAGACCTAATTACTGTCGGCAGTTTTGGAACGAAGTGTTGCATGACTCAGATGAGGAGAGAGAATTCCTCTCTACTTATTTTTCTCATAGGGAATCACAGGGAAAGAGGCATATAAGATGTATTAGGTTAATTCTGTAGAGAAATTATTTTGTTATATCCACTTGTTTCAGCAAGACAAGCCCAGAGAAACAGGATCTGTAATTCAGACACCTGCAGCATGTGCTCCATGAGTCAGTACTAGACCTTTTTGTACACACAGGATGGCAGAGGGTTGGAAGGACCTCGGAAGGTCCCCTCACTTCTCCCACTCCCCACCTCTGCACTCAAAGCAGAGTATTTGAACTTATATGGGGATGCTCAGGGCCTTGTCCAGCTTAATTTTGAAATTCTGTCCCATTCCATCCTTGAAGCTATTCAAACATGACTGGACACTCTCCTGGACAAACTGCTCTGGCCAACCCTGCTTTGAGCAGGGTGGGGTAGACAAGATGATTTCCAGAGATGCCTTCCAACCTCAACCATTCTGTGATCCACAGAATCTACAGCTTTTCTGGACAACCTGTTAACTGTGCACATGTGGTCATGCTCTCTTTGAACTGGACCTGCAGCAGAAATACGTCTGTTAGGTACGACTGACGTAGCTGATCTGAAATTAGTCCTAGCAGCCACAGAATTTATAACATAAAATTAATCTTCAATAGGAAATGTTAATAAAGGAAAAAGGAAGCAGACAAGTTCACTCCTTTTGCAACGTCCAATTGTCATGCAATTCAGCATAGGGAAAGAAGTTTAGTAACACTAGTCGGATTTCACAGAATTCTGAAGAGCATTTGAAGGCACAAACATTTGATTAGATAGGCAGAAAACTACCAAACCTTAATTTATTATAAACCTGAACAGGCATAATTTTCTCACCAACTAAAGGAAAGAAGATTGTCATAAGCTCACTTTTTTTAATTTTCAAGGCTCTATACAGTTGGATATGAAGCTTCACAGAGAACGAAGACAAGGGACCGGTCCAGTCAGTCCCAGCCAGCATACACAGAATTAAGTAGTAACTTCCAGCTGAGGGAAAGAGAAGATAAGTAAAATGGAAAAGGGTGTCCCAGTCTAATGAGGGACCTGTGTTTAATATCAACCAAAGTAGTTTATACGTACCAAGCAAGTCTCCAGATGGAAGCTGTACTTTCTCTGCCAAGACAATTCTCTAGGGCAGCACTGGATGAGGTCTTCTCAAATAAATAGATGTGAAAAGCTACAAGGGGAAAAAAAAATGAACTCCCCTAACATTCTCTTTGTAAACTAACTAGATATTTTAACTCCCCTTCTCTTTTACTTTTCCTGGCACAAGAACCCCAAATACAACAAACACATCCATCCATCTCACAAAAGGAAAAAAAAGTGCATTTCCTATCAGATGCTTTGCGTCAAGACTGCTAAGGCTCATAAATCAGCTGTCTTATTGCCCTGGTCATTTGAACTTTTTTTTTTTTTTTTTTTTTTTTTTAATGCCAGATTTATAAACTTTAGTGTGCTTGGTTTGATATAATATCCATTTTGTACACCAAGCTATAAGACAGTAAATTTATTGTCTATGAACTGTTACCTTGAAAAATTACATCAATGCAAAGTGGTTTCCATTTAGAATCAATGGGCAATAAATTAATTTGATTTTTTTTTTGAAAGGGGGAGAGAACATGATGATATTTATGAGGTCATGAGCGGCTATATAATGGGTGAAACTGGGAGCAGAGGCAACAGTCAGACAGGAGTTCTGAGTTACAGAGATAGACAAAGACGAAATAGATTCAACACAGCAATGATGCATAAGCTGGTATTCTGCTGTCTCATTATTATCAGCTTCTCCTGTCCTCTCTCATCTCTCCCCATCATCAATGCCAGTGAGATGTCTTATCAACTTGCAGGTAAGAGTCTTTTGATTTTAATGGTCATAAAGCAGGGGCTGGAGCAGCAAAAGCAGACGAGAGGCAGGTATGCTTTCCGAGGGGCCTTTATCTGTGCTGATCAGCTGTAGGAAAAGCAGGAATGCCTTCAGAACACTGGCAGTGCAAGTGACATCATCAGTGGGTGCTAGTCTTGTAAAACGGGGAGGTTGGGTGCCCTGAGTATTTCTTCCTGCTGCTTTGAGATCCAGGAAACAAAGGTACGTGAGCCTTCTAGCATGGAACACGAGCTGGCATAGACAGCGTCTGTCGCTGAAGCAGCATTGGGTAATTTAAAGAAACTTGGCTGTATGGTCTTTCGCTACACTTGAAAATGAGCTATGTTTAACTGAAGTTATATTTAAAAAAGGGGAAACCTACTGCAATGATTAATGCAATCCTACTCAGATCAAGAACAGGCAAGTCTGTCTTACACTGCCAAAATAGCAATGTATTGAGCATATTTGTTTGCACTGATGCAGATTCCATTCAGTCCAGTGAAAGAATAAATGTTTGCTTGAAAAATCTGTTCTCATGAAATTATACTATAAGTTGAGACTGAAATGACTCAGTAAAAATGCACAACAGAATCTGCAAGGTTACTGTCATCAGACCTGACCTGTGCTGGAAATGTTTCTGAAATGAGTTCTCAAAGAACAGGCGAATCAAACCCAAAGTTACTTCATAAAGCTGACTATTAAAACGTGGCTGCTCTTACCCACTTTGCAGGTGCCACAGCTGTTGTGCTGGTTTATAGGTATTAGCAATCCCTAGTTCACTTTGAAAATCTTGGACTCCTAAGCCAGCACCTTCTCAAGCCTTCCACGATCTAACTTGCATATTTACAGGCAACCGTGACTCAGTATGGATCGCATCTATCACATCACAGGGTGAACAACCTGGCTCTAACAATTACTGCATTTGTTTCAAGACATCCATTAGGCTTATTAAATCTTCCTTGCTAATACAGAGTCTCTCGGCTGGGTACGACAGAAGTAAAACTCAGTACTAAAGAAGGTTGTTTCAAAGCTTTCTAAATCACAAAGCAAATTTACCTGCTGGTACTGCTCTGAATTTAAAAAACAATACAAGGCTAGAGATATGAATTGTCTCCACACAGCACAGGGAAATTACAGTATTCTTATTCCGTTTTACACTCAAATCCCCACTGTCCTTTTCAATTGTCCCTTTGTACAGTGAAAAAACTAACAATGTGAATGTCCATGATCTTCAAGTTCTTGATCTTGGTCCAAGTTTTTGAAATGCTGGGGGATCATTTTCAACAGTTTATTTTCCTATACACTCCCTACTGTGGAGCTATACAGTCTCACCCATCCCTGCAGGTAAGAGCAACTAAAACTCTGCAGTATCATCTAAAAGTACAACTACAAGATGATATTCATCTACACAACTAGAGTTTGATAATAGCACCCTCTTGTTGCTTACAATTTTGAATGTCTGCTATATATTAGCAAAGATCGAATTTACTGCTCAAAGTACAAAAGCCTTATTAAGCCTTATAGAGTATAACACTGCTAAGGGCTCCTGTTGGCAACCTGCCTTGGGACACAGGCTAGTTACAGAATTCTCCATGGATGTGCAAATTCCATCAGGTATCAGCAATCTGTTGTTTCAAAAAAAGTAATAATATCTGTACTAGTATACATGTTAAATAAGAGAGGTGATTGAGATGCACTAGAGAAGCGTAGCTGCCAAAATATTTTAAGTTTTTCTACATTTATTCCTGCCCTTCCCCCCATTTTATTGCATTCAATAATTGGGAGAGCAGGTTAATAGGCCTCAAACAGGAAGTTTTGTCTTTATTCATAGAAAAGCTCCAGCATAGGAACTAGTTGATAAAGAAATGGACAAAAATATATATATATATATATATATATATATATATACACACACACATATATATACACACACGCAAGTCTGGCTTGTCTACAGCTGGGTACTAGGAGGATTAGGCTGTGAGCTCCCCAAGCAATGGGAGGAGCTGCTGTTTGTCAAAAAATTGTCTTAAAAATCTGCCAGAGAAATGAGAATCTGAGATTAACATCAGCAAGGTACCTTTCTGAAAGTTTTGGAAGGAAAAAGAAGCCCACAACTATCCCCTGTTATATTCATTAAGTGAGGATGGATGACTGGTGGTTTCACGGTAATCTTCAACAGCTGGGGCCAAGAGACCTGATCAGAAATCATCTGAGACCGACTGAAACAGGGATTCAAAGCAAAAGACTCTTACAGTATGCCTTTCTTCTGTCATCTTCCATTTTTAGCTGATGAAGATTCGAGATTAAGCCTGGAGCAGTTGGGCAACCTAGGAAGCACTTCCCTGCTTCAGTTTCTGCCAGAGCTCTTGGGCACCCTGACTGAAGACAGCAAAGCAGGTGAGGATTTCCCACAGCAGTTTATGGAAGAGTGCCCACGGTTTGCATGTCCAGCTTCCCCAGACATGTGCCCCAGCTCCTGGGTATTTAGTGAAACACAGCATCATGTGTAGGCAACAGACAGCTGGTTAACTGAGACCTTGGGTAAACCTGCTGAACAGCTGCGCTTACAGCTCAGGTACCGGCTGGAAAAGTCTCCAAATTAGCTAGCAAAGTCCTCATACAGCAGAACTGGGGCAAAGCAAGGACTGCCCTAGAAGGAGCTAGCAGACAAAACACAAGAGCACAGTCTCTTAAAAAACAATGCTTGCAGGAAGTGCAGAATCAATAGCGATAGGTAGTTTGGGGAGCAACAGACATAACAGATGCCTGCTGAAGGGGACCGTACAGCTTGCACCTGCAGAGTCCCAGATCCTGCTAAAATTGTGCACCACAAGAAGAAATGGCTGTGCTGCAGCAAAAGGGTTTTCTGTCTAGAAAAACAGCTTTCTAAATAAAGGCCAAACTGCAGCTTCACCAGGCCAGGCCAGTACACTAACCAGTATTAGCTGCATGTCATTTTTTTCTTCCACTGCAACACAGGTTACACAGTATTATCAGATTTGTTATGAACCGTTAGATAAATGGAGAACATCATTCCTGTTCATACATCTGCTGAATTAAATATAAATGCTGAAGACAGGGACTAGTTTTAGTGCCTCACCTACATCAGAAGGCACACTGGGTGTGCCTTTGCTCCCCCTAGTCAGAACACAGGGCTGGGGGATCAGCTGGAGCTGTGAGGAGTGTACTTTCCTGCTGGGAACATTTACCACCCAACAGTAACCTCTCTAATGCTGTTTGACTTTCAGACTTTCTATGGAAATCACCCTCGAATTGCTTTGCTGGGCCGCTTCTTGACCAAGGACAGGAAACAGTACAAGAAACGTGGGAATCTCTCCGAGTGCTTCTGGAAATATTGTGTGTAGACAGGAGAAGAAACTCTCCCTGACTTTGGTTGCATAATTTATACAGATGTCTGAACACATGTATATAGATTTGCTTGATTTAAAATGAGAATGAAGAAACATGAAGACAGCTCCTAACTTTAGAGTCTATGCTACTTGGAAGTTAATAAATTCTTGATGTTTTGCAATTATGCTGCGAGCAGTGTAGTATTTTCTTAGAGTTCAGCACAACAGGAAGAAAGTAATGGGACAAAGATAAACATGCAACATGAAGTGAACTCAGGCAGGGAAAGCAAGACACCCAGGAGGTCCCATGAAACCTCTCAGAAGAGTGATGCCTCAACTTTGTCTAAGTCCAGAGGCAAGAGGACTTTCTCCTTTGTCACTTGTTGTAGATTGGGGTGGCAGGAAAAAAGGGTCATTGCTGAACTCCCTGATGATGCTGAGCTGGTGAGGGATGGCAGCTTAACAGTGCCCAGTCCCCAAGGCACCTCAAAAACAATAAGCATTTTCTCCCACTACTGCTGGAGAGAGAATTGTTTCTCTTGGTCACTCATAAAGAAAGACCCACAAATCTATTTCTCTGCAACACTTTGCCTTGTCCCCAGCTGCCCATGACAACAGGGTTGCCTGTGCATAACACAAGCTCTAAGAATCGTGTCTGACTGTCATCAAGCACAGCATGGAAGGTAAATGTTATGGTTGTCCGTGTCAGGGCTTTACACCCAGACCAGGGACAGTCATTGGAGGCAGACAGGGATGACCTGACTTAGAAGATTCCATGACTGTGACCTGCCCTTATGTGGCTGCACAGACAGATGCAGAAAGGTGATACATGGACACCGATCACAAGTGTTACCAGGGCAAGCCACCTCCTGCCTGGGCACTCAAAGGCACTGAGGTTTGTTCCCCTGAGCCACCACATGGTTTTTATAATGTTGTTGTATCTTGGCATCTAAAATAAATGAAGGAGAAGACACAAGAGCAGCTGCAAAAGGGTTCTAGTCTGATGCCTTTGTAAGTGGAGTACTAGCACACTTTCTCACTCCCAGGTACTTCCTGATAGTATCTGCAAGGAGTAGAGCTAAAGTCAGGAATGGTCTCTGGGGGACGGCAATCTCGATTATATGCACAAACAGTCTGAGCTGTGAAGCCCTACCTTGTTCAACACATCACATAAATCTTGTGCTAATCAAGGCTCACAGAAAGCTTGAAGTAAACTTCACCTAACAGTGGTACACATGCTACATTGATCGCAATAATATACATCATAAATCTCCGACTGTGCTGGTTAAACAAGGTCTACAGGCTTGATACAGCTTGTTCACTTCACATAAATCGTAAGACAGATGAAGCCAGCTATAACAAAGAAAAATGTTCTTACAAACGCAGAACAGCTGGATGCACTGTGCAGCTATTTGAAATCTTCTGAATATTCATCCTTCTCTTACATAACAGAGCAAGTCATTGCCTGTCTGAAAATTACTCCTTTCCTGCCACCTCATCAGTCAATAACAACTTGTAATAAAAGACTTCAAATTATCTAAATGAATAACCATCTAAGATTTGTTTCATACACAGGGAAAGATGTAGAGACTACAAAGACTGGGAAAAAAAACCCCAAACCTGTTCAATCCCACTTCAAAAATTTCAAACATAAAGCAAAATAAATAAAACCAAAATGAGTAATAGTCAAAAAAATGTTACAAGTACTAAAATGTTTACTAGCCATCTACATAAGAGAATAATCTCCAGAAGAGAATAAAGGAATGAAGAGAGCTCAGGTGGTGAGGATGGAGTCCAGACAAGGTGATCGAGCTATAAAACCCTCAAAATGTTTCAGCTTTCAATATTGTAAAAATACTTGCTAGTAGTTATGGCATCTAATGAAGCAATACTCAAACAACTTACTGTGTTCAAGCCAGGGCAGAGCACAGCACCAGGGGCTGGGGGGAATTCAGCTAATTCTAAACTAGTGGAATTTCAGCAGAGCCTGAAGTTTCCAGTCCTTCACAGTCCTTGCCTCTGGTAGGAAGCAGTTCAGACCGCAGCTTTGGACAGGACGGGCAGCTCTCCTAGAGGAACGTTCCAGATCCTGCTGCACACCCAGCTGCCTCCTTCCTGAAGGAACATTCATGGCAGACTCCAGGTAAACACAGTTCCAGTGCCCAGGAGTGGGGAGTCCCACCAGTCCATGACTCAGGAGGGCAAACTCCACTTCGCTGCCATCCTGCTATAACCTTCAGCTCCCAGCTTTTCCTCTTCTGCAGGCCAGAGACAGGAAGGCTGAACACGACAGAACTGCAGGAAGAGCTCCAGAGGCCGGATGGACAGGGCAGAGCTCTCTGAGCTGGCAGAAAGGCGCTGCCGTAGCTGGGGCAGCCGCCACAAGAGCCCCGTCCGTGCCAGGCTGAGCCAGGCAGGCAGAGCGGAGCTGTGCAGGAGCAGCACCTAATACATACCCTGAAAGGAAACCCGACTGTGGAGCAAACCCAGACACTACGGTCCCATCTCTCTTGAGATTGGGGTGAGTAAACATCACAGGTCCAACACTTCACTCTCACTGTCTGCCAAAAGTACAGAAGTAGATCCTTCAGCTCACCTTTGATACCTACCAGAGGTGAAAGCTTCAGGTTTTGAACTGCGAGCAAGAACTACGGCTGACAGGAGGGTGAGGAAGCCAGTAACGCAGCTAGACTGACACTGCCTAGACCTCCATATAAAAAACACAGCACACCCTGAACTTTTTCGTTTCAAACCTGTTCACATCTCTTTGTAATTTTTGGATCAAGAACACCTTGATAATTTGGCTCACATTTGTAAATAATGTTTAGAATGACCAAATTACCCTTTTAAAAATTAGTAACCCATCAGCAAAAATATATCCAATGTTATCTTCAAGAGGCCTGTATTTCAAGGAACTGCATCACTTACCTTGCCAGAGCACCTTCAGTTAGATACTTATCTAAGATTCCTTCTTTTCCAGTTTTAGTAAGATGCGAGATCTTTTGTTCTGTACCTTGTACTCCCTGTAGTGACTCTGCCTTTCTCCTGCAGGCTTCTTTAAGCACTGTTGACCACACTTCTCTCTAAAGTCCCTTAAAGCTGAGAAAGATGAGCAAATTGTTTCTGCACTTAGTTAAGAACTTAATTGCTCTATGAGACATCCCTGTGAGATGCGATTAGAAAGGAAGTCACACCCCCTGCAGTGGGCAAGGCAGAGTGAGAAAAAAACCCACCACAGAACAGGATGAATGGCCACTACATGACCATTTTCACTGTACTCACAACCTCCATGCCTATGTACAATCAGAAAAATGTCATGAATATTTTGATAAAAGTTTATTTTCTCGAAATTACCAACCATAAAAGTAAACAAACACTTGAAACAGTTCTTTGCAGCATATTTTTCATTTATAAAAACAGAAGCTCCTTTAAAGTATACAGTTAAAATCACAATTGTAAATTCAACCACAGCTGAACATCATTTCAATATAATATCTCTATCAACTGATGTAAAAATTAATTCGGTTGTGATTTAAAAGTCGATTCAGCTGGAAGATAAACTTACCAATACATTACTCATCCAGTGAATATTTATCGCACACTGTAAAAATACACAAGGGTCCCTCCTGTTCATAGCAATGCCATGAAAATATCTGCATGTTAACTCATCTTTTAAAAACATAATTCTGTATTTATGAATACAACAAAAAAAATTGCCAGTGAAATCCACCAAGGGTTTCCAAACTGCTGACACCCCCACAGGGGGTAGTAACTGCATCACTATTGTACTTGCTTGTTTTCCCTTTGATCTCCAGAAAAGTGACCTTCCAAGCAGCTCTGAACCGTCTGCCACATTTTCATTATGCCAGGCAAAACAAAGTCACATAAACAAAACAGCACATGCAAATCCGGCTGCAATATTTACTCCATTGGTCTTTCAGACCATAACTGGGTCTCACTTCAACTACTCCAGCAAACTACAAAGACTGAAAATTAACGTATGCTGAAGTAAAAACTTACAGAATCTAGGTCCTTCCCAAAAGGCTTGATAAGGCATTGGATTGCAAGATGTTGTGGTTCTAGGGGGGTAAAAAACTGGGTTTTGTCCTAAACCTGGTCTTACAGCCAAGGCTGTTTGCGGTTTTGGGCAAATAATTTAGCTTCACTGTCACACAGAGCACCGATTCACCTCTTCATTCCCCCATACCATAATTTTCTTCCATAACCTAGGACTAGTGTAGCCCCAGACAAGGACTCTTGCACCTAAGATTTAGCCAGGATTACAAACTTTGAATACAAACTCCTAGGCACATGTCCCTTCATTATATATGGTCAGAGGGTAGGGTGTTCACAGCATACAAAAGCTGTCGAGGATTTCTGTTGCCTAATGAACCTGCTGGGCACAAATTCATAGCAGGAGGTGGTACAAGAAGGGTTAACATCTCCAAACAAGAAACACATTAAGTTTCTACATCAGAATCTTGACCACTTTCAGCAAAGACAGCACAGGATATAGTGAGTGAAGGTCCCCAACTTACACTCCTGGGTCTGCTATGAACTGGGGGTCTGCATCTGTGCAAGTCCTTTGTGTCTCTGCCTCTTTTTATACAACAGGGATAACGACAGTCACCTTTCTGACATGTTTCCAGACCTATGGATGAAAAACATTATTCAAGCCTTAGGTACGTATTGTCATTCTAACCTAAGTCCCACTGTTTTAGAAAATGGATGACATGTATGTCTGCTAAAACATGGCAAACGACCTCATTTTCATGCTCAGGAAATTACCAGTGGAAATAATATACAGCAAGAGAGTTGATTATCTAAACTTTCCCTCTGGCTTGCACTTTCAAATTATTTTGAAGGAGACAGCTGTCCGTACCTGGAGTATTCAAATTAATCTATTTCTGTAAGTCTCAAAATACATCCGTCATTTTAATTTAAGCACAGCTAACTAGAATGGATTCTACTGCATTGGCCTAATTTGACATTTAAGTTATTTAAGAAGCTTCCCAATTAAGAAAAGAACCTATACACAAAGCATCTTATTACAGTTTTAGAGCAAATATTTTAGGCAATGTGGTTATAAAGCAAAGTACCATAATTGGTAAGTGCAGGAAAAAGACTAGGAAAGCTATAAGATATTGCCCACATTTTCCTACTTGAGTACATAACTTGATATACATAAACACCTATCAAAGTCTTTTATTTTAAGAAGTGTTTCAAGTTCTAAGACATTAAGTACTGAGGATGTGTGGACCACTGCTGATTTGCAACGCAAGAAAAAACAAGTTCAAGCTGAAAAAACTGAAAGACAAATAAAGAAATGCAGTTTAAGAATAAATAAAAGCAATAGGTATAAACAGAGAAGGCAAGCATACCATTAAAAGAAAAAAAAAATCAAAAGAACACTGCCTGAGTCAAATTAGCCCTGAAAACTTAAAATTCTGTAAAAATATCTTTCCTTGAAAAAAGCTGTAATGACATTGTCACTGAATTTATTTTTAAAAGAAAAATCTTTAGATAAATACAGTTTTTCTTCAATGATCTGCAGATCACAGTATTTTTAACTTAACAACTTGAAGCTTACTAGTAAATGAAACTGAAGAAGTACAAATCTTTCACACAGCAGAAGAGTTACACAGGATAAAAGTGTGAATAACGTGTTACATTCTAAAACTCTTTGTTGAGAAGGCTAAGGTGATTTCCACACGGAAAAATCTGTTTACATCCAGCTTTTGGTAAACTAAAGGGAAATGAGACAAAATCTGGTAGGTTTTAGTGAAGCGTATCCTGTTTGAAGAGCACTTGGAGACATTCTGCTTTAAGCTAGAAGTATTAACACGAAACAAGTCCTTTTACATACTGAAAGAGAAAGTAGTAACCACTTTCTGAACAACAAACTCACACTATGCACAAACTCATTTTTCGCCCATGGATTTCAACATGACAGAGACTCCTTTATAAAGAAAGGTTAAAACTTATACAGGAAGTCAACAGTGATAAGAAGTAATGAATATGTGGTTTGATGTCCAAGTTCGGCTTCACAACATGTGACTTTTCAAGAAAGCAGAAGAAATTAAGCATAATTAAACAAACCTTTTGTTTTTGGCATTACCACAACAAAAACAAAACATGGAAACGGCTTAAAATTTCCTATTTGCCATGTCTGGATTCAACTTTACCCACTCTAACACAACACCAAAGACACGAATGCGCCTGCCAGAGCGCTAGCTACATCATGTAAGAGATGGCATGTAGCTACCTGAACTGACAACTAGGCTACAGTGCCTTGATAAAGAAGGTTTTTCAGGTCTTTCATTAAAAAGCAGATCCTGTATAAGGAAATAACTCCTGAATTGTTACTTCTATGTTTTTGATTGCTATTTTAAATTTAATCTCCAGTGGATTTGCAAACCAGTTACCCTCAATTACTTTTAAACATCTATTTTGATGAACACAGCTGGTTTTGCCTCTTTTCACTTCAGTTTATTTTTTTGATGGGCACAAGCTGGTGAAAGGCATTCTGATGTAGAATAATTTGTCCAGTTTTCAGCTGCTTATTAAAAAGCCTTTTGGATTCTCAAACCAGCTACAGTGATTTCAGAGCCTCAGAGTATTAGGATGTTCAGTTCAGACCTTTAAACATTGAACAAACAAAAATGAAGAGCACTCTGTTGTAGCTTGGTTTCAATGCTGGCTTCAGCCACCTTACTTGGAGAGTAAACACGCTCAGATCTGTTTGGTCCATCACTGCAGGTTCTTAACCATGGTATCTTTTCAGACTCTCCAAGTTCAAACCAACAAACAAAACCCAAATCAAAAAACCCTCTGTATTTTGCTCATCACTGAGCAATCAAAAGTTAGAAACATAACCCACTCTGCGTCAAGTCTGTGAGGTCAGGAAGGGAAAGAGCCTCCCAGCAAAAAATTCAAAGCAAAAATCTTCAAAGTCCTGCCAGGAGTGGAGGGCTAATGGAGGAGGGTTTAATCTCACATGTGCAACTGCTCATGTTGGGAAGAGACAGACAGATTCACCACTAGTATGTAGCAAATGCAGAGAAAAAGAGAATGGGAATCGCACCAAGCAGTTTTACTGATGCAAGTGCTGATGTCTTCAGCGTTGTAGGAGCAGAGGCGATTTTCCCTTTGTTTCCATACCGTCATCAGCCTTTGCAGCCTCACAACTTGCTTGCCTGACGTCACATGTAACACAGCCCTTTAAAAAGGGAGAAGAACATAGTAATTTCTCTTTTTTATATTTCAGAGAGTCAAATCCCAATAGCATGATCTATTGCAATCTCTTGAAACCTCTCACCAATGGGCTGAAATCTCTCTAAAAGCAGAGATTATACAGTTATTTTCAGAAGCAGGTACTTGCACTTCCAACTTATCTTGTCTCAGAAATTAATTCTTTGGTTAGTGGAACATACAGTTTTAGCGTTGAGATAAAAAGGCATGTGACTTCCTTGAATGTGAAGGCTTTACATTTCAGCTTTATAAGCAAGCTACTCATTAAGGATTTGGACTGCAGACTGAACAGCGACAATAGCAACCAACAAAATGGGCTGAAATGCCCAAGAGTATTGACAGATTTTTTTTTGTTCTTGAGAAATAGTATGATATTAAAATAAAATATTAAAATAGAAATCCTGCCTTTGTTTCTACTGTCAGAAGCCTGGCTGCAAAACGACCATGACCTACAAGTTAGGAGCAGGTTTAGCACCTCAGATAGTAAATATTTATGTTTGCATACCAATCATATCACAACATTTGACATGATGCAAACATTCAACAGAATTTTGCTATCTGAATCAAACACATTGTCCTAGCCACAACAGGACACAAGAGATTTTTATCAAGGTATTAGGAAAACAAAGACTAATTTTCTGGTCTTATTTCAGAGTCAACAGAGATTTCTCAATTTTTCTGCTCTAAGAATAAGTACCACAGCTCAGAATGCCACATTCTGAAAATCCTAGCAGAGAGAGCATGCAGTGCTGTTTGAGTACGTGAATGCAGCCCACTCTGCCTTGAAATTTTCTGTATAGCTCAGCACTGGAACTCTAGACCTTTGTGGGACTAGTTCTGCCTTGCTCTTTTCTTTTCTTGTAGCACCTGATAGAACTTTAAACTTGGCATACGAACACATACTAACAGAAATCAGAGGTAGTTTATCAGAGTACCTAAGAGTTATACCAGATAAAATAGTCAGGCATGATACCAAAATTCTTAAGAAATGAATTCACCTACAAAAAACTAACTATCTTTGTTTTTCGCACTGTATGTCTGAACCCCCTCTGATTATGAGCATTTTTCAGCTTGCTGAACACACTTGCTCTGATCTTCACTAATGTCCCAGGGTTGCATGCTCTTCCATCATAGCAACAATCAACTTTATAAGAAATAGAGCAAAAGACCCACTACCAACAGAAAAAACATCACTAGGCATGGACCCTATGTGCAAGTGTGACATTATTCCCATTCATCCAACAGTGTGACTGCAGGAGCTTTGCTACAGGTGGCTCCTACAGAGAATTTGCATATGTTGCAAAAAAATAAACGGAAGGACCCGTATTTTGGCATTTGTCATCTGGCTAGTGCACTTGCTCATCTCCTTCTTGTATCTACTGGCAGCCCAGCAGTGCCCTCAGCACTGCAGGATGGTGCTGGCCAGACAGGGCCCTGCCCCAGCTCTCTCCGCTCCCTACCTGGGTGCCAATCTGCAGCGGGACAGTCCGAGTCCGGATCCACGAGTGCACCTCTGCCAGCTCCTTCTTCTGCCCGTCCGTGAACCAAGGCTGCTGCTTCCGCATGACTGCCAGCTTCTCCAGATCCTCCTTTAAAACCTCCTCTTTAATTCTGCAGGTAACAAGACACCTGTGAACACTGCTGCCTGGATGAAGCCAGGCAGGCACTGATCACCCCCCGCCCCCCAAGAGCCCCTTCACCAGTGTCTGCGGCTGCCCTCCAGACAGCACCGGGCACCGCGAGGTGATGATGCCCAGTTACACCTTGTTTGCTTTGTAGGGCTTCTTTCAATACTGATCTAACTGCCGGGGCTTTTGTTGGTTTTGTTGGAGTTGTTTGGGTGTTCAGTGTAGGGGTTTTTTTGGTTTGTTTTATTGTTTTGTGTTTGTTTTGTTTTAAATGTGGAATCTCTTTACAAATTATGTATTAGTTAATTACAAGCAAATTGCAGATAACAGAGTATTTTTACCCCTTTATGCATTCAAAGTACAGGACAATAGCCAATCCCATTAACACTTCAGCAAAAAGGTTCCATGTTACCATATTTTAACTGATGGGGGAAATGGTGAGGAAAAAAAAAACAAAGACAAAAGGAAATAACCAGGGCCTAAAATGCACAAACAGTAAATTAATACACCTCCTTGGAGTTTCACTGGTACATGCACTATTTCCACAGTCTCATTTTTAATTCTACAGTTCTATGCACAATTCCAAACTACATGTCAGAAATTGTTGATGTTTTCCAACCTGTTTGGCATCTGGTAAGTCATTAGAACTTGCTCGGATGTGTGATCCATCATCACCCAGGCTGACTCATGTTTGGATTTATGAGCTGTCCCTTTTTCTTCTGCTTCCTGATTCTTCTCTTCTTTGGAAGCTTCAGAAGAATCATTACTGGCAAAATTCTTGCTGCTTTTCCCACTAGCTGCTGAGAATTAACATAAAAGAAAAAATGAATGCAGATGCTTGAGAAATCCTAGTAGCTCAGCACAAAAAGAGAACACCAGTGTATTCTTGCAAGCTAGTTCTGCAATACGAACACAGCTACTCCGAGGTGACTGCTCTCGCAAGGGACTACTCCCTATTGAGAATTCACAGATAAAGTTCATTCTGTTAAGTTACTCAAGATCTCCAAATCTCTGTTCACTCTTCTCACAATTATTTGGCTCAGACTCTTTGCTTCTGTTTCAAGAGGCCCTGCTCTAGGCAGATTCACCTTTACCCAAATAAGATCCAAGCCAGTATCTAATGCGGAGAAAAGTGATAATGAGCAAAATGAAAGAGTAACTTACAGATTAAAGGAATGGCTTTTTAGATTCCCATTTCCAACTACAGTGACTGAAACAAACTTGGCTTCAAACACCGAAAGCTGATGAAAAGTAAAGGCTACAGATCCTCTTCCTGTGATTTCCTATTCCCATTACGGTATCTTGTTATGAACTACCAACACTTTAGCAAACCATGTTAGCACCAAAGCACCAAACCTCCAGATCTTGAACTTCTCTACCTGTGCCGCAACCAGAAGTGTCACTGGAGCCAGAGCCTAAAGACCCAGATGAGGCTGATCCGGTGCCTGGTGCCGCTGAGCCTGAACCTGACTGGGAGCCCTCATACAGTGAGTGGTCGGCAAATTCACCAGAAGCACAATGGTTAGCACTGTTACCACTGTCTTCTGGATCGTTGTCCTGGAGACAAAAATCAAAACAAACACATCCATGGAAGTTACACATAAGATTGAAAAAGGAAGTTCATGCATTTACTGAATTTGTCCCATATTGACTCAGTTCTCAGTTCAATAGGTTTGGAGTTTCTAGCTCTGAAGGTGAACAGCAGTCTAGAACTCGTGGTAACACTCTTCATGGGTGACATCAACAAGCACCCAGACTCATTTATTAGGTTCTGCTGCAGATTCTTCCCCACTGTATCAAGATATTGCAACACTGCAATGTTAATACGTTCCGTTGGCAGGAGGAGTCAGTTCCCTTCACGCCCTGTCAGATGCAAGAAGCAGCCACACAGGCCCAGCAACGGGCGCTCCAGGGACAGGGAGTGCCTCTTCCCCGACTCAGCGTGTGGAGCGCGCTGCCCCGGCCGCTCAGGCACACCAGATCCCCTTCCAGGACCCTACCCTGCAGTTTCAGCTGAGCCAGCCTTTCCAGCCCAATCTGCACTCAGGAGCCAACATTTTTTCCTTGCCTGAGAGCTCAGATTCCTGCCTCTGAGTTTACCACGGAAGTTGGAGAGGCCTTTCTATGCCCATGTATGGACACTGACCCTCACAGGATCCCTGTTCTTCATTCATTAGCTGCATCCCTGGGAGACAGAGGCAGTAATTAGACACGTATCTTCCCTTCGGTTCTCCACAGACACTGTGGGACGGGATGAAAAAGGATGCGAACTGTGCAGCGCTAACCAAGTTCCACATGCATAAAAGCCCCAAACACAAAATACTGGCCATCAATTTAATTGAAAAGGCTGCTGCCAAAATGCTGAACAAAAGTGGCCCGTGGCAGCCTAGACCCGATCTCGCATTTCTGACATTTTCTAGGTGCCAATGCTGTATGGTTACAAGTTCCCACCGACAGAAGCATAAACAGCTTTTTCTGCCTCCTGTGCTATTTGTGCCCTGCAGTCTGCATAGCACAGCCACCAGAAAAAGCAGCTAACAAACTCTGGTGGCCCTGAAACACCCATCAGTCTGGGCGGCTGCACGTTCCTCCTCTACATTACAAATTCACGTTACTTACACCTTCAGCTTCTGCATGTGCTTTAACATCAGCACTAACGGAAAGCTCCATCGGTTTTGGCAGCTCTTCCTGAAGCAAATTCAGCTGAAGTGGGGAGCTGCTCCGTGAGCTGCTGGGCAGCAGGGCCGGGCCACGCTGGCCCTCTCGCTGGTCCACAGATGTGGCCGCAGTGGCTGGAAAGGGCTGGCCCACAGCGCGTGGTGCTACCGGAGATGGAGCAGGGGCAGGGGCCGGAGGTAGTGTCGTGCATGAGTACGAAGAGGGGGGATAAACATACTGGGGGCTAGGAAGAAAGACATACTGAGGCATCTGAGCATACATGGGGAAACTCTGAAAAAATACAGCCATAAATGTGCCTATGTTTGGGGGATAAAGTGCTGGGCATGACTGTGCTTCACAGCATAGCTGGGACGATGACATGGACTCAGGTTTTAACGAGTGAAGGGCAAACTCCTCTCCTGCAGAAGAGGCTGGAAAACTTGATAGTGGATCTGAATGGACAGGAAATCCCATGGGGGGAAGGACATTCACACTGGAGGAGCTCAGATAGGACACTTCTGAGGGAGAGAATGACTGTTTCTGCATTTTTCTCTTCTCGCATGGAAGACTATTTCTATTTTTACTGTAAGAGTGGCTATCTGAGGACTGTCTCTGAGGCTTCTGACGCTTGAATTTTCCACGTTTGCCTTTTTTACGGCTAGCTGGGCCCATCTGCTTTGAAGGGGAATCTCCTAAGGAAGAAGAAAAACACACAGTCACTGAAATGACAGACCAAGGGGAAAAAAAAACAAGGAGAGAGAAAACAGAAAAACATCCAGATAATTGAGTGTGGCTTATTCAGAGAGCTGGCTTTTCTCTGGATAATTCTTTCACACACTACAGTGATGGATTTGCTGACATATCTACAATATTTTCCTTCACGTCATCAATTTTCTTATTGATCATTTTGGTTTATCTCAACCAGAGCTTTTACATTCCCTCAAAGGGAGGCAATAAACTACTTGGGATTTGCAGGGTTTATTGCAATAATTATCTGCTTTGTGAAAAGTCTAAGAGAGCAACATCTAAGACAGAACAGACCACTGTGTGGGCAATGCTGTTGTCAAGCCATGGCATTTCAAAGGGACTATTCTGTTTGTAGCCATAGTAAGATATTAATTAAATCAGACAAAGGAGAACCAGAATCCACTGCTAGGTCATCTAATAGGTCTTTATTTCTCAAAGCTGCTGCCTACCTTGGCCACAGGAATGTCCGATGTTACTTCTGCTCCCCTGCTGAAGGTAAGTCCTAAATGGAGAGAGCAAGATCCTTTGGCGGAACTTGTCAACGTAGTTCTGCTCCTCCTTTTGAGTGTGGGCTGACAACGTCTCTTTTGTCAGCCCAACTGGCTTTAAGTCCTCAGGCACCACAGTGAGACACTGAGCATTCACAGGAGGCAGCTCAATTTGTTCACTTCCAGCAGTAGTATCCTCCATTGTAGTCACTTCTTTGAAGAGGGAAGAAAATATATCACTCTTTGCTCTGGCCTTCTGGTGTCAACTCCCACAACACCCAGAAGGTCAAACACGAAACAACCTTGTCTGAGCTACAGAGCAGATACAGGCTGCAGAGGTGGGGGGAGAAAACACCCTTTACACTCAAATATAGTTACATTAACATCAACTGAACAAATTACTTTTCATGGTCTGTAAAAGTTCAAATTCACTTTGAAGTCACAGAGGTGCTTCTTTCTTATTTAACTGCTATTGTACTAGGAAAATACTTGTTTTTATGCTTCTTTCTGCATTAAAATGAAGTAACACTGGCCCATTAGTAATTTTTATTTTAATCCTCAATGGCTAAAAAAAGCACATTGTTGTTTTTGAGATATACACAGGATGAAGTTAAATGGGAAAGGAAACAGTGCACTCTCTCAAAACTAGGTTTTATTAAAATACTGTAAAAATTTCCAGGCTCAAGTTTTCTTCACAGTGTCCCTAGAAGAACCTTAATTATATTCCAGAGTTCATATTCATGAGAACATATCTCAAATGGACAAAACTTTCTCATGGTGTAGTTCAGTTTGGAAAGAAACATTGTGTAAATTTAAAAATCAGTGAGCCAAGCCAGCGTTTTGTGTGTGTGAACAGTACCTGATTCGGGGCGTGGGACGTGCACTATAGTACTGCTGTAGCTGCACTGGCTGGTGACAGACACCACGCTCGGAGACTTGCTGGACAGGGCCAGCTCTGCCAGGGGAGCTCCCACCAGGCCTGCGGTGGTCCGGCCGGGCAGCGTCTCTTCCCGATCAGCAGGAACCAGAGCCTGGGAATCAGCTGCTGAAACCACAGCAGTATCTACTGGTAAATGACAAAGTTTCTACGTGGGATTTTGTTCCAAGCACTATGCTCCCAATTCATCAAGACTGGCTGGTTCAGACACAAGCAGTACCTACGCAGACTATTAAATACATCCTATATACAGATAAATGTAACATTCGATGCCAGTGTGATGTCAGCACACACTAAACATGCATAAAGTGAGTGAGCAAGAGAAGGTTCATTTAACTACAACAAACAATAGTTCTTTTGATGCATTCTACATTCAGAAACTTAATATTGTAGCTTATGCTTAACTGTGAGATCTAGGCAACGTAAGAAAATATTTACCACGTCACCAAACTATCTGTGCTGTCAGTGTGACAGCAATTTAAGAAGTGGACATAAGCCTTGGAAATCAGTTGTTGTGATTCGACTGTCAGTGTACTTTGTGTTACCTTCCAACGCCTCCACTTCCTGCTGATTTTGTTGGACTTGCTTGTCATCTTCTGAAGATGATGAAGATGTATTTGCAGAAGACTTACATTTCCTTTTCAATGCTGGAATACTGCAGCTCTCTAAGTATCTGAAATAAAAGCATATCACAGGAAGCTCTCCCTACATTGTGTTTTTTCTCCACTTGGAGATACAAACACTTCAACAATCCAAACTGGAGATCCAGGGGTTGTTAATTAGTATTTTAAATTCACTGCAGGAAGCTCTGGACTGGTTTCCAAGGAGTATTTTAAATAAAAATCTATCGATTACTCTTTAAAAAAAGGAAAAAAGAAAAAAAAGAAAAATTATTATGTTACCCACTGGGTTAAAAAATACCGATGTTTTATAAATTATATCAACTTTCTGTTTTATACAGATGTTCTTGAAGTGTATATTGAGAAGACATTGACATTTTATGCCCATGGAAATTCTCTTAAACCCCTGTTGCACCAACGGTGGAGCTATCAGTAGACAAATGTCAATAGTTGCAAACAGAATCTTAGGCCCTAAATTCTTCATCATTGTGTAACTCAGATTAACTGAGCATTGGGATGAATTGCCCAAGAGGCAGAAAACTTCACAAACAATCCTAAATTTATCTTGCAACTCAAAACCCAGACAGTTTAGACCAATGCGCACTGCTTGGATATTTACATTCCACCAATTAATCTTAAACTTGTATCTCTAAAAATCACTTCACAGTTTATTACCTGATGATACTATCAACACAATTGATCTGCTGATAGGAAGGAACACGTGGAGTCTTCTTTGAATCATCATAAAACACATTGCTTGGTTCTTCCGTGCTGTCGCTTCTCAACGTCTGAAGAAAACAGGAAGCAGTGGGCCTCTTCCCTAGAAAAGAAGAAATCCTCAAAGACTTCACTCAGAGGTATCTAACCATGACCCCCGCCAAGACACGCATATATGCGCTGGGATACATATATATTATACAGGGATATATGGCCTATGACAGCACAGCTCCCATTACTAAGTTATTCTGCATTTTCATTCCAATTCCCATGCTCTGAGGCAGGAGAGGGAGCAGGGAAAAGAATGCCTAAAAAGAAAAAAAACCCCACACAACACCTTAAACATTCACTCAGAACAACTAGTAAACACAATGAAAACAGCATAGAAAAAAGTATTCTATTTAAATTGTAAACAAAGCTGCAGTTAATACTACTCTTCTCTCAATTACAGATCACAGAATCCAACCTGTTATTTAACAGTCACTTACAGCATTTTATAGCACAGACACCCTGGTCAGAGCAGCATCAACATTCACAGTGCAGGCCTCTCATCAACAAGACTAGGAGTTAATTAGAACTTTCGTAGAGAGTATCACAGTGCAAAATGTTTTAATACAGATTCCTATGATATCTGAGGAAGCATCCAGTTTTCTCCACATATTTGTGCTGGGTACTAACTGCAAATAATGTGCATTAGCATAATATTAAGTGACACTGTCAGTAACTAAACCACTACTTTGGTGGGAAGTCGGGCAGCGTTTTCCAACCTGTGGATTGTTTCTGAGAGTCTACATAAAGCAGCTGAGGGAAGCTTCCATAGTACTTATACTTGCTAAAGCAAGTCTGTGTGCTCACTAGAAAATGTTACAATAAAAAGTCTATTAACCTACAAAGAGACAGATAAGTTTCTCCATATTTCAGGGAACAGTCAAAAAGTTATTGCATCTGCTGAGGGCTTTTTTGGGGTGGGCTTTAGTTTTTTTAGTTTGGTTGGTTTTGATTGGTTTTTGGTTCGGGTTTTTTTTTTTAACAAAACAAAGCAATTCCCACATTTAAGCCACACTCAAGTGCTACCTTAAGCTCTTCAGTGTCAGAACACCAGCTGCCAGCCTCAGGGCTGTGGATCTACAGGAGCTCACGTTACCTTAAGGATCATAATCACACTAACTTACCTCCCAGCATTTCTGAGCCCACAGCTTGTTCATGCCCATTCTGTGGCTTGCTCCTTGATGCAATATACAGCTGCTGTCCCAGATTCTTTATTCGGTTGACATCTGCACAAACTTGTTGCAATGTCATCTTGAGATACGTGAAAATGTGAAGTCAGAATAAAATTAATGAAAAGAGGCCATAGGAGACCGTTAAGATGGGCTTGGGTTCTTGTATTCTCCAAACTGAAAGGGAGTAGACTGTCAGCCTGAGCCTGGTATCTATCAGTATTTGTAAGTTTAATGAATTTAATTATCATAGTTAATTTAATTAAATTAACCACGATAAAGCTCAAACAGCCTCAGCATTGGAATGTTTTAATACTGATGCAAACCTTGAGAGTGGGAATAAGATGATGACTTACCCAGGAGCCTCACAAGCCAATTAGGTAAGTGCAACGCGTGTTTTAGGGCAGCACTGTTCCCACTCTTCTATAACAGTCTACACTGCACATCTAGTGCCCTTCTGAAGCAAAACAGAAAATCCCAAGCCAAGAGAAACCCCTTCACATGCATCAATCCTCCTCCTGGTTGCACGGTTTTTCCACTTTTTCCTCTCCAAGTCCACTGGTTCTTTGAGAAGGCTGATCTTAAGCAAGTATTCAATTTACTTTAGTGAACTACGTTAGTAGTTATATGCTCATTTTAGTCAGCAAAATTAAGAGCAAAACCCAAAAGCCAGCATTCTATATTTGACCAATTTAAGTAAATTTAGCTTGAATGTAGCTGTACCTTCCCACTTCAGTAAAATTCATGATGAGTAGTGCATATGTACACAGTAGAAGTTTTCATTTTTAAAACCCTATTTTTACTACTCTGCAGACAGTGCCATTTACAGACTTACTGGTTCCTGTACATCCTCTGCACAATTCCCATTGGAGTCACTTGAAGATGCTATGCTGATATAGTGCTCGTAAGAGCCATTGCTTCCAAGGCTTCCATAACCACTGGAAACATTGCTGTGAACTGGCTGTATGAAGGGGGAAAAAAAAAAAGTGATTAAAAAAAAAAATCCTCTTAGAGAACAAAAGGAAGGGAACAACATACTTTGCAACACAGAAATTCAAGTAAACAAAGAAGTCAGTACTGCTCTGGGCTCTACCACTTGCTTAAAGGTGTTTCAGGATGCAGATTTATCTTTCAACATAAAGACTTGGCAAATACGTCAAAATAGCTTTTTCTGATCAGGTGAGCTACCCAGAGCCATCTTTTTAATGCTGTCACACAAGCCTGTCTCCACTCAGAACTTTCCTTTAAGACCTTTTAAAAGATCATGCCCAAAGTAGTCTTCTAAACAGACCCAAGTTTCTTTAGCTTCTCATTCAAGAAGGCCAGACAGTGTTCTGAAATTCTTCCATCTTCTTTACCTGCAGAAGCAGCTTGTAAATTTGTCCTTGCAATTCTCTTATCTCTTTCTCAACACTGTTTGTTTCTTTACTTCTTGTAGCAAAGACATCTTCATTCAGTGGGCTTCTGGAGAGAGCCAACAGAATTTCACTATTAATTTTAATTTGATGAAGAAAAGGCAGCTATAAACAAACAGAGTTAGAACAGATTCTTTTTATTAGCATTATTTTATTTTGACTGCTTTGCTGAGTCAGCACAAAAAGATGCCCTGTTCCACTAGCAGCTCTGCTAGGGTAGCGGGCAGTGCCACGGGGGCAGCGCTGCGTGAAGCCCCAGGGAAGTCAGTACCCCAGCAGTGACACGAGTTAAGGCTGACAAACATCTACACGCCTGCCTCCTTCAGGGAGAAGACAACATCACAGCCCATAAATCCCTGAATAAAAGATCACTTTGAAAAGTCAAAAGGCCATCCCAAAAGGCCATTTCCTAGAAAAGAAATCAGGTAAGAGGAAGGCAGGCAGTCATATATCCAGTTCTCTTGGAAACTAAGGAGAAACACCTGAAAAATTAACTTGCACATTTGGTACTAACTGCATTTTTAAAAGAGGCTACCTTGGTAAATACTTAGATTCTGTATCAAGTGAATAATCCAGACGAAAACAAGCCAGTAGGTGATTTGGGTTACACGTCTGTCAATTAATGGGTTTTTTTTGAAAGCAGTCATGAAACAATGTCAACTAATTATTTGTTAAAGTAATCTATTTTTTACACTGCTTTTTAGCTTTTACTTAGCTTGTCTAAAACTGATATTTTGATTTAGGTATGTCCACTGTCACAGTACTTGGACATCAACCATAGTGCAAAAACGTATGCTAAAAAAAGTTGACTTTGCCTTTTACTTCAAAGAAATATATTTATTTTCATACTTAGTAAACAAAACTAATACTGTCCTGAAGGAATGGGCTGCAAGACAGATGCTAGGTAGTTGTCACAAACTGCAGGAGCAATATTACGTCTCTAGTTCAGTACTGAGAGTATTCAGTGAAAAGCTCTTCAACAGATCAATTCTACAAGTGACTTACGTCCGGACTTTGTGTCGGCCAATGATGAACACGACTTTCCTGCTCCAAGGATTCACAAAACTGGACCAGCTGGTATCCAGTATGACATAATCCCCATTTTGAGTACAAAATCTAATAGGTAAGTGTTCAAAAGGGGGTTGTCCAGCAAATTTCAAGACTGAAGAAAAAATAAAATCAAGAAATAAGGTTTGGTTTAGATTATGACACAGCAATGCAAGCACAAGCACTAATGACTGGGGGTCTTCTGGGTTTTAATTTGCTCTGATCTCAGATTGGTTGCATTAATTAATTAATTTTTGTCTAGACTGTAGATCAGTCACATGTCAAGCAATGTGATAAGGAAAGAATGTTAAAACCAGCAGCAATTCCTCTTAAAGCAACTGTCCTTACTTTTCCGGTGAACAGCAATCATCAGAGGACGATCTTCTGGGTGCAAATACATCAGTATGGATGTTCCGACTAAATCTTGAGGTAAGTAACCCAGCAAAGGCACTGCTCTGAAACCCAAACACATTATCCCCGATTTTAATATACTTTTGAGTATTTACATGTTTAAACCTTTGCCTGTCAGTGAAGTCCCCATGCACGATCTACAATGGCATGAACTAAGGCTACAGAAAACTTTCCAGCCCATCTAATAATACTCCAGTGCAATGCAGGCACGTAAATACTAATGACAAACATTTCTGTGCCTGAGAGCTAACAGATCTTCACACTTGTAGGCAGTTTTGTACTTGTCTATATGCAAAGGGAGGAAAAAAAAAGTGTCTTGAAGAAACAGGTCACAGGCAAAACGTCGGTATGAAATCTGACATGGATGCTGCAGAGTGTGCTGTCAAACAGTTTTGTGGCTTTGCAGGAGACAGCTTTAGTCTGGCCAAATTTATTCGAGCCAGCTCAGTACCGCTGTATCTCCACACCATGACCCTCAGAGCTTTGCACTAGGTGGGTTTTCCTCTGTGTTACCACAGGTGCCCATTGCCCTGGATAACGAAAACCGACTGCAGTTCCATTCAGTGATAAGTCAACGAAGGAGATTATGTCCGTGGAGTTCTAGATGTTCTTCCCTGAGCAGACTAACACAAAACTGCTTTGTTTAGTTAACTATTGTCAGGTGCACAGTTCAACTACTTTACTTGGGTCTCCATCTCCGTAAGATTTTTTGCTACCTCTTCATACACACCTCGCAGGTCTTAGATACAAATCTTACCTGTCATCTATGTCAAGAAAAACACATCCAGGGGTGTGAGTGGTGGTGAAGATTCTTTTATCCGTAGGAATTCGAGGAGCTAACAGAAAAGGAAATATTTACTGAAACCAAGTATGCATTAAGACAGAAAACCCAACTGCTAGCTCTGCTCATGACGGAGAATTACTGGCTCATGAACTTTTTAATTGTTCACTGCTTTCTGACCAGTAACTCATAGAAACATTACAAATTTGTAGGTGCTACAGACTTCTCTCAGAAATAAGAACAGTGAGGTCAATGCTTCATGGCCTTGCAAAGAAGCACAGATGCTATGGGTTTGCAGGCACACACACACACAGACTGGAAGTTATAGGGGTGAGCTATCCAAGCACAAGTTCAAAACAAAGGAAGCAGACTTTCAAAGACTGCACTTTCCTATTGGCTTGTTTTTTTCACTGGAATCTCCTGACTTGCCTTCGTATCCAGAGTGAATTTTCTCAGCCAAAGCTAAGCAGCAGCATTCTGCATCCACATGGACAGAAGTACACACATGGACCAAGTACGGGGTGATTCGGAAGGGGTAACAACGTGGTTCTTGTTCTTGATCTTTACCACCCCTGAGAAGAAGTAAAAGCAGTGAACACACTGGTTTTGAGACTCAGATACTTTATGCCATGGCCGAGAGCCCTGCACAGAGAGGTTATGCTGAGGGCACAGACCCAGATAATCGCAATCTCCCGCAGTCCTACGCACACTCCCTTGCGATCCAAGGCCAACACATTCAGCAATATTGATCTGGCTCCCCTTAAAACCAAGTAAGTGTTTTGCCTCCAATACCTGCATTCAGAGGCTGTTCTAGAAACACCATTACTCTGATGGTTAAAGACCGTCTTCTAATTCTCAGCCCAAACGTGTTCACCAGAACCACCCATCCGGTCTTACGCTCTCCTTCAAGTTCAACAGTTCTTTTTCTGTTTATTGTCTATTCTGTACCATTTTTAGGAACAACAATAAAACTAAGTGTCTCAAGTTTTGTTTCACTGACCTACATTAACGAGACTCCTGCAGCCTTGGTTCACAAATAGTTGTAGTGCTTTGATTGTACTCCCATGAGAATTTGTCTTCCTCGAACACGCATGAGCAGTGGCAGCGCACAACATTCTAGATGAGATCTTAACTGGGGCCTTGTAACAACTGCATTAGCCACTGCCCGTGTCTACTGCAAATGCTCTTTCACCTCTTAGAACTGCAGTATCTTACCCAGCTCTGACAGAAAGAATTGAGATAAGTTTTTGAATGTTATCACACTAAAAGTTACTTCCTTATTCCACACTTACTTTTGTAAGAGAGAAGTTAGTGTCATTAAAATTGCTACTGACAACTCTCCCTTTTGGAAAAAAAAAAAAAAAAAAGGATACAAATGGAAACTGGATATACAAGTTTAACCCACAAAAAAACTTTTTCATACCTAAGCATAGTTTGTGCCTGTGAAAAAAATATTTTTACTCATGAAGCCCACATAAACAAAAGGATTTGATACATAAAGGAAGGAGAAATGTTGTATGAAAATATGAAGAAAAATTATCGCAAAACATTTATGTATCCTAGAAAGAGTTCCCCCAACTTAAAATTGGTACCTGGCCTTCTATATTTATTCCAAGGGCCCTTACACAATTCAAGAGACAAAGGTGACTTTAAAACTCGGGCTCTTGAAACGCAAATGAATGAATCAGTGATTGAAAGATGGAACAAGTATTGTGTCTGCTCAGAAGCAAATGAACAGTTCTTACAGAAATCAAGAGACCATCCAAGTCTGGAGCAGAACTGCACTAAAGATTAGAGGCCAATCTCAACTTTTTTTTCTTCTTTCAGCACTAGGATTAGCGAAGCATAAAGCAGCAAATTGCCTCCACAGTGACAGCAGGTGGAATCTCATGATTCAGGTCTCACACTGGGACTCAGGTGACTGAGCTTCTGTTACTGCCTCTGTCACAGACTCTTAAGCAACCTTAAGCAAAACACCACTTGTATCCATGCTTGAACTGTGAAAGGGGGAGCAGCGGTTTTTCACGAGATCATTCTTCTCCTGCACAGCAGTACTGAAGGAAACCGACAGGTCCAAAAGTAAAAGCAGTTTGCCTTCTATTCCCAGGCAAGTTTAAGCATCACTATGGGAAAGATATTAAAAATGTCCTGCTGGATGCCAACACTGAACACACCAAGCCAATACTGTAGTGGAGTTCCACAACCTCACACTGGTCACTTGTGACAACAGAACACGGTTTCTGCCCATTACCGAACCCTCTGCCCAGCCTTCACAGACATAAAACTGTAATAATGTACTTGCCTGATCCTGCAGAAAAAGGATTTCACCTGGGCATATTCATACAGAGAAGCTGATAAGAAGAACACACATTGGAAGTATCAGTTAATATCCTTAAAAAGGCCACACCTATCAGAACTATTTTAAACTCGGCATCCTCCAGACCTTCTGAGCAAGACCCAAGTCTCACAACCTGCTATTTATTAGCTACTGAATTAGCTGTTCAACAGTCTGCTCCCACCTCAAATGTTATCTCTCTTCTCCAGCCCACTCATTCTTGAAGAAGGCTGACCTGGAACTAAATTCAGAGGAAACACGCATGATCTTAAAAAAACCCCACCTTTCCTCAGTGCATCACTATGGAAAGGAAAGGTGAAGATTCAAAAACTATACACAGTTACTTGGGAGGGAGAGGAAAACTCAGTTCACAGCAAGAGAGTAACAACTGCACAGGGGTGTCGCTGCTCGGCTGGGCAGGCACATGACTGGATTCCAAGCTGTGGAATCCCTGGCACCTTTGCAGCCCCTGATGCCTCACAGCCTTTGGTAGTGAGGATTTTGGACTTCCTAGCTCTGATGCCAAAACAGTCTCACAGTCTCACAGCCAGGTGGGCAAAAGACATGCGAGCTACATTTGAATTGCTCACAGATAGCACAGAACTTAAAAGTCACCATCTAGGTACATCCAGCACTAAATAGCAAGTCAGCTTAAAACACAGGTTCAGTGAGAAACGTTCACAGCAGGCTGCAAGCAGACCATAAAGACAAAGCACCTAAGCAATCACAAGATGAAGATTAAACAACTTTAAACTCACAATTAGACCTTTAGTTTATTTCAAAAAGCAGCAGTATTCGAATGAGTAGGAGGGCACACACCACAATGAGGTATCTGCCTTTCTCACCCTACACTAGCTGCACAGCTACTTGAGTTTTCAAAGTGGAAGGGGAACAAGTGCTGACAATGTATATCCCCAGCATCAGCATTTACCATGGACAACTATTCTAACCCCATTCTGCAAAGAGAGAAAGACACAAAAAGCATTTTGGAGCACTGCCAAGTCCCACCTGTTTGACGTTCCACGTTCCAGAGCGGCAGGTGGGACTGATCTGTGTGGGTGTAGAACACACTCACATCCTGAGGGACAAGCAGCTCTACAAACCGGGAGGAGTCCAACACTTTCTTCTTACAGTTTAGAATGGATGCTGCCTGCTCAGAAATATGCACTATGTGTCCCGAAAGCAGGGAAAACACAGCCACAAATGTGTCCTGGAAGACAAACACCGTTAACGGCAATCCTCCCCCCAACATGGGCAACAATACTGTAAGGATAAAAAAAATCAAAACAAAAACAACCCCCAAACCAACCAACCAACCAACAACCCACCCCAAACGACCACACACTGCTACCTAAGACAGAAGTTCAAAAACATGTTCTTAAGTTACTGTCCAAGGAGGTTTTGCGTGAGCTGCTACAATCTCCAATGCTACAGTAGCTTACTCATGATTTACAAATGCTAATAAAACTGCAATATCAAAACTGAAACAGATCACAGTGATGCTTGCCATTGTTCAGAATGACTGGGTATCATTCCACACACTTCTCCCCACATTTCAGAGTATTCACAACTCCACATGCAAAAATATTCCGGGAACTTTACAAGTAGAAAGCATTTGCAATATTTGTGATATGGCATCTAACAATACTGAATCTCAAGAAACACTCTTTTCTTTGAAGCAGAGCCAGAAAGCATGACACATACTGCAAATCAAGAAAAAAATAAATCTAGGAGTACAAACAAAAGCAAAGTCCCTCACAACTATGGACTTGATCAGCTTTGAAAACATTCTGCTAAGTCTGTTTCAAAAGATTACGATGCTGTAAATGAATTCTCAAATAAGATTCTCAAAATGATCTTTGTTCCTTCTGGAAAAAAAAAAAAAAAAGAAGAAAAAAGGTATTTCTTCACTTACTGCTGTTGGGTACTCTGAGTCAGCACAGATTAGAAGCAGTCTTGATCTACCTTTAAAAACGCAAAGGCCTGCCTGGCTAAAACTTGAAAGCTTTTCAATTTTACACATTCTATTTCCACAAAACGATCTAAGGAGTCTAAATAAGGAGTGAAATGACAAGTGATGAACTCCTTGAGAGTGCCTGAATTCCTTACAGTGTTTTTTGGAGTGTGTTCAGATGCAACTGCCACCAACTCCTCTATGCTGTATGTCATCACATCTGGCTGAAACACTCTTCGGTCATTCAGAGCCTGGAAAAAGTCATTGTTTGCTAATTGAAAAAAGAAGAGAAGCAAAACAAACACAAGGAAGTCAGTAGGAGACTATTTTGAAAGTAATTCTTACAACCCTTGTACTTTTGTCATCCTTTTGGTGAAGTCCAAGATGAGATGAGGAAGGTCTGTGTAGCAACAAAGGAAAAAGTAATACTGATAATACTACTGGAATGACTGATCTACATTACAGAAAACAAGCATGAGGAAGTAGAAAGGAGAGAACATGATGGCAAAAAGAACAACTTTAGCTACTCAGTTCTGCTGAAAAACACTGATTATCCAAAAATTTTTCCAAGTGGGAGAAGAATGCTGTTTTTTCAATATACACAGAAAGTTATTAGTAGGCACCTATAAGCCACAGGACTCTGAAGAAAAGAGAAGAAGCAGGAGGGCATTTCAGTAGAAAAGATAACATGAATATTTAAATAAAGAAAACCCCCAGTGCTTCAGAAAGTCAACTGTTTGCAGAATAACTGGAATGCTTTCATTTGTTATGATATTTGCTGCCAGACATGTCTCTTCAAACCAAGGGGCTGTAACAGCTTCTACACTTACAGATTTTTTCCACACATACCTTGGACCTGCTGGACACACTGCAAGGCATAGTTGAGAGCACTGATGGTGCTGGGCTTGCTGGAACTCTTTTTCTCTTCGGGCAAACACCTCTTCATTTCTTGGATCATCCTCATCAGATCTCTGTGAGACTGGCTCCCATTCAGCTGCACACTGTAAAACAGAGGTGAAACTTTACCTCTCCATGTCTGGTACAGGAGAGTCTTTTCTGTCAACTAATTAAAACCATTCACTAAATTAACATTTTATGGGCTTGGCCGCAGAGTCACAGAATATCTGGAAATGTCCTAATGCTCATTCACTGTATTTCCTGTTGTATCTTTCTCGCTTCTTTGATGCTTAATCTTTTCTCCTCTACCTTCCTCCTTTCCAACTCCAACATGTCACGGATGGCAAAGTCACATCATAACCAATCTGCCTGCTAAGAAGCTTAGCAACTAAAAATAAGCTGATGTTTACTCTGGATCTTCTAAATCTTTCTTGTATTAAAATAATGAATAGATGCTGATTCTTTATGTATATAAGTCTTTCTAGCCTTGAAGTCTGCATCTGATTATAAGCACTTCAGGGAAACGTGAAGTTCTCAAAATACACCCGATGCAAAGATTTCATTCCTCACGTGATTCCTGAGTCTTCTTCATTAGACTTTAACAGAGCCAGTGGCCTAAGCAAAATCAACAAAATTAAGCAAAATCAACAAAGCTAAGCAAAATTAACAAGCAAAATCTCCATCTTCTTACTTTTGCTTATTGCACTGACTCAAAGATAAGCAGTCAGTATCCTCAAACTGCAGATCGACTCTAATCCTACAGGTGAGATACGAACACTTATTTTAAGTAACTTTTGTCCATCTGGCACTTTTATTAGCATCGTGCTCTTACTATATAAATCACTAAATAATTTCAAGTATTGCACGTTAACTTTACGTGTTAGTTCAACACTGCAGAAATTACAGCTCTCAAAAGGCTTTTTTTTTTTTTTAATTAAAAAGGAATTTGCACCTCATTGAGTTTCTGAACTTTCAGGGAAAATATTATTTAAGTAATTGCTACTTTACAACTGCTAAGCGCAGTCTTTAAATCTATAAAGACGCCCCAAAAGAGTTAATGACGTATCTGGATCAGCCCGGGGAAGCGGCTGGCGAGGAACCGCCGCAGCAGCCTCGTGCAGGTGCGGGAGCGCTCCGGGCACTGCGGGCTGCGGCCCAGGGGAGCCTCCCCGGCGCCCCGAGGCGATCGAGCCCCGGGATGAACCCGGCCCCGCGCTCTGCTGGGGTTAAGCGCAGCGACCC